AAAGAAAAAATGCAAAAATAAAAATAATAGCCTCCGGAAATAACTTTTTTTTTGCAGTTTTTGCAACATTTATTATTATATACTTATTCTAGGGCAATTTTCATTTATAGACCACATAAAAAAGGTTTGTCAACAATATGATAAGGACCGTATTTTACATATTGAATAAACTAATTAAAAAATTAAAAATTATTCAGAACGCACGTCAATATTTACACTAATAGGATTTAAAAACACAAAAAAAAGTCAAAAAGCCCCAAATTAAGGATATTAGAAAAGGGCAGGGTAAACGTGGGTTTTAAATGTGAATGGGATGCGGCCGTTACATTGATAGTAACAGAAGAGGATAAGGAGTATACCTGAGTAGCCCTCGCCCTATTCCTAGTTCTATTTCTAGTCCGAGATCTAATCCTAGGTCTAGCCTTAGCTCTAGCCCTAGCTCTAGCTCTAGCTCTAGCTCTAGCTCTAGCTCTAGCTCTAGCTCTAGCGCTAGCTCTAGCGCTAGCCTTAGCTCTAACTCTAGCCCTGTTTCTAGCCCTAGCTCTGGCTCTAGCCCCAGTAATTGCCACAGCCCTTAATTAGCATTAGCCTCAGCTTTAGCCTCGCCTTAGCCCTAGCTCTAGCCCTACCTCTAGCTTTGCCGCTACTCCTAGTTTTGTCTTAGCATTAGCTAACGCAACCTATACCTACTAAGCGCAAGCTTAAAACTAAGCCTACGCCTCTTACGGCCAAATATAATATCTTTAAGCTTTCGAAAGATAGTATATTAACCTTAAGCTAAATTAGCCTAATCTATATAATATTAAGCCTAAACCTACTAAACCAAAGCTTAACCAAAATTCATATTAAACCTAACCTATGTTTAAAAACCTAAAATTTAAAAACTAAACCTTCTAAGCTCAAATCTTACCACTAATTAAGCCTAAATTAAAAAAACCCAAAACAACTAAGATGAATAAGTCTAAAAAATTAATTAAGCCGAAACTAAACTCACCTAAAACCACCAAAAGAAAAAATTTCTCCCCACTGATAACACCATGATAAACTCTGGCCATAAAGAAACACTGCCATTCGAAAATAAAACTTTGGAAGCCGGAAATCAGGTTTTTATCCGCTTTTTCCCCTAAACCGCTTTATTGTTCATTGGGTTTGTAAAGAATCTGTACAGAAAAAGACAATTAAGATCGACTTGTGACTATGGAGATTTACAAAACTTTCAAAAAGTGGTCGAAAGTTGTAAAGAATAAAATGTTTCGACACGTTTTGGCACGCAAAATTGAATAAATTAGGCTAATTGTGCAGGGAAAACGTAGTTTAATTAGTTCGAACCTTGTTAAAAGCAACAAAAAATGAAAAAAAAATACAGTGGAAAGAAAGTTCTTTCCTTTTTTCATTTTGTAAAGAAAGTTCTTGCAATTTTTTGCTTTGTAAAGAAAGTTCTTGCCATTTTATGTTTTGTAAAGATAGTTCCTGCCATTTTTGATTCTGTAAAGAAAGTTATTGCCATTTTTAATTCTGTAAAGAAAGTTTTTGCCATTTATGTAATTGTTAAAAAACGAAAATTTTGTGTTGTGCAGGTTGCGGTTGACACGTTATACTATGGGCAACTTTTTTTTGTTTTATTAGGCTTTGTAAAGAAAGTTTTTGCCATTTTTAATTCTGTAAAGAACGTGCTTGCCATGTTTAATGCTGTAAAGAAATTTCTTGCCATTTTAAGCTTTGTAAATAAAGTTTTTGTTATTTTTTGTTTTGTAAAGAAACTTTTTGCCATTTTTTGTTTTGTAAAAAAAAGTTTTTACTATTTTTCCATTTAAAAACAAAAAAAAGTATAAAAGCAGTTCGCACGGTGCAATCGACAAATTAGTTTGCACGGTGCAAAAAAAAGTAATTTCAATATTTTTTAACCTTAATTTTTTTTTAAAAAAAAATGGCAACATAGGTCGATAAATTCTTCAATTCAATCTTATTCTGATTTCTTATTTTATAATTTTAATATTAAAAATTTAAGACAGGAAAAGTAATTTTTAAATTGTCTGCACCGTGCAATTTCTAAAAGCTGTTGCACTGTGCAAACAAAGATAGGGATTTAAATCTGCACAGTGCAATAAAAATATAAAAGGTAAAAGTAAAATACGGTAGGAAAATATATTCCATACAAAACGGAAAATATTAGCTTGTTCACATTATTCTGTGCCCGACCCCAAAAACTTGCTTTCAAAATAATTCTGTGCCCCCTGCTTCGAAAAATTGCTTTGAGAAAGAGCACAGAATTATTTTAACAACCTAATAAAACAATAATTTTTAAAACAAAGTAAAATTCTAAGTTAAAAATTATCAAAAAGTTCCAATAAAAATTAATTAAAAACATCCGTATCATATTACTATGGATATTACTATTTTTGATCTCATAAAAGATTGCTTGAGAAAATCTTATAAAATTTGCTGTAATACGAATACATAATCTCAACGAAACTTGCACCCTTTTCCATAATTTATCGTGAGAATATTCGCTGCGCTCTCGTACTTTGCTTTACAGAGTGTGCATATGTCATGGTATACAAAGGGGATATGTCATGAGAGAGATACGTAGTGTAAATATAATTTCATACATACTAAACCTAAGCCTACTAAACTTAAGCTTGCTAATCCTAAGCCTATTGAACTAATACTTAATGAGCCTAACATGTAAGACTGCTAAACTTATTTCTAATAAGCCTACTAAGCATAATCTTACAATGTATAAGGCTTTATAAGGCTCTATAAGGCAATCCGACTAAACTTAAGCCTATGCCTATGTCTAAGTTTAAGCTTAAGCATAAGCTTAAGCCGAAACTTAGTTTGAAGTTTTAGCCTAAGCTCAAGCCCAAGCCCAAGCCCAAGCCCAAGCCCAAGCCCAAGCCCAAGCCCAAGCCCAAGCCCAAGCCCAAGCCCAAGCCCAAGCCCAAGCCCAAGCCCAAGCCTAAGCATATGCATAAGCCTAAGCCTAAGCCCAAGCCACACCCTAAGCCTATGCTTAAGCCTAAAACTAAGCCTCGTCCTAAGCTTAAACTTAAGCCCATTTCTAAGCCTAAGCTAAAAACAAGCTATAAAAACCACAAACAAAGAATAAATCCTCCCCCTCAGTCCAAAAAGAACATCTCGCCATATAGCCATTTATGCCCTCGCCCTTCAACCCAGTAACAAGTCAGACCTTGCAGATGCCGTCATAACATGTCTATTGTTATGTCATGATTTGACCCCCGTCGGCTATTTGCATCCGTACGGCCGCGGCGGACGGAAAAAACCAAAAATCGCATTTCCTCGACCCTTCAAACACGGCCGCTCTTCCCCCTTCAGGGGTTTTTCCTCTCCGAGAGGTGTTAATATGTACTATAGTAAACATCACTTTTTGAGGGGTTTTGTTGGGGTAGAGGATGAAAAAGGTAAACCTATGGTTAAGACTAGAGCTAGCACTGACAAATTGTGAGGCTAGAACTAGCGCTAGTGGTGAAGCGAGAGCTAGGGCTAGGGCAAATACGAGAGCAAACAATGGCACAGCTAGGGCTAGGGCTCTGAACTAGGGCTCTGGGCTAGGGCTAGGACTAGAGCTAAGGCTAGAGCTAAGACTAGAACTAAGGCTAGGGCTAGTAGCTACGACTAAGGCTAAAGTTAACCTATTATATCCAAACTAATAAACCTCTACACTAAAACTAAAAATTTTTTTAAAATTTAAAAAAATTTTTTAGAATTTAAACAAAAATAACCGAAAATCACGTTAAAACCCCATAAAAACTGTACAACGAAGCACACTAGCAGTCTTAAACAAAGCCCGAACCAAATATGCATATCCAGCAAACAATGCCAATGATGAGCCGGTTGCCTTTAAAGCTTCAACAAAATGGCCCTGCAACCCCTCTCCCCACTAAGGCCTTTGACCCGAAAAGGACAAAAGAATCTGTGAAAAGGCATTTCGCCGTCGCAAAAAACAACAATTCGACCAAAACAATTCGAGCAAACGAGCGTGTAAATAAATTTGGCTTGATTAGTAATGACCGCCCGGCCAGACGGCCGCCTTCTTGATCCTACTGTAATGGGGTGACGAACGGGTTCAAAGGTTTAGGAATAGGGTAAACAAAGGGTTTTTAATAAAAAATGCCATTTTTAATAGAGTGGGATTTCTGTATACAAATTGCTTGAAAATTATAAATTTTGTCGTTATACAGAGGTTCCACTGTAATATCAGTGATTAAAATGTCATAATTATATGAAACATAAATTAAAAATGTCATTTTAAATACAAATAACAAATAAAAATATCATTTTTGAAAAAGACATCAATATAAAGTGTCATTTTTATTAACGTTACAAATAAAAAATGGCATTTTTTAATATAAAGGTTTGCACGGTGCAAAAAAAACATTTTTAAAAAACTTAAAAATAAAAAAATTTTTTGAAAAAATTAAAATAGATCTTTTTTATTATGACATAAAAATCCTATTTTCATACTATAAAATAAGTTCGCTTTTTTGTAAAAAGAAAAAATCTGCGCGGTGCACAATGAACCAAAATCCTTTTTAAAAATTAGAGAAATTACAAAAATTAGTAAAAAATAGTAAAAACTCACCTTCATTATAACACAAAATATATATTTTCAAAATATAAAAGTTTTAATTCTCTGTAAAAAAAGTTATTGCAAAATAAAAATGTCTTCACGGTGCACTAAAAAGTAATTTTGAAAATTTCAAAAACTAAAAATGAAACATGGCCAAAACTCATGCATAGAAGTTTTTCATACCATTTCAACACTTTTTTCAAAATTAAAAAAAGGGTCGTCTCTTGTAAAGAAAGTTATTGCCATTCGAAAAAACTGCAGCCCCACAAGGTACCTACAAAATTTAAAAAACGCGTTTTCGAACAAAAAATAAAACACTTAAGATTAAAAAATGATTATTTAAAACAACTTTACAAAGTTTAAATTACTTTAATCAATCAAAAAACTACTTTAAAATATTAACATAGCTTTACAACTTCAAAGTAAGCGGCGGAGTAATGCGTTGTTCAGAGAAGGATTGTCGCGTGCATGCTGACAAGTTATCAGCTTGATCTTGTTGTCGATTCAAGAAGTCGTGATTAGAAGTGGCATTGGATAGAGTGATCAAGTCTCTGTAGCCATTCATAGAAACACTAAAAATGGCACAATAAAGTGTTTTTGTTTAGGAAATATGCAAAACACTTCCTGCTGAGCTTCGAAAAACTGCAAAAATCCGTGATAACTTGGAAACGTAACAAAATTTTTTAAAATTTGGTTTCAAAGTTAAGGTAAAAATAGAACCTGGTAAGGTCATTACTTCAAAAGTCAACATAGTAACGAGTAGAGTGCTTTAAATAGGGCAAAACTAGTTCGAGAGTAAGTTTTAATTAGAGCAAAACTAAATAGTTTGAAAGTTAAGTAAAACAAAAACATAGCACCGCTAAAGTAGACCTACAGGTATAGCAAGTTCAAGCTAAGGTTAGAGTGAGGCTATAACAAAGGTAACGATAGGGAGTAAGTTTTAAATAATGTTAAAGGGTAAGGCTAGAGAGTATAGTCAAGATAAGGTTGGATAATACTAGATAACTGCAAAGGTACTGCAGGATCAAGAATACGATAGGGTTAAAATAATGGTTGACTACGACTAGTATGAAGCCGGAGACAACCTAGGATAGGGGGTAAGAGTATTATTAAGAGTAGGGGTAGGGTTAGAAGTTGGGGTGAGAGTAGAGGTAGGAGTAGGGTAGTGTAGGGTAGGATAGGATAGGGTGGAGTAGGGTAAGATAGGGTAGGGTGGAGTAGGGTAGGGCAGGGTAAGATAGGGTAGGGTGGAGTAGGGTAGGGTAGGATAGTACGATATGATAGAGTAGGGTAAAGTAAGGTATGGTAGGGTGAAGTAGAGTAAAGTAAGAAAGGGCAGTGTATTATTGAGTAAAGTAAGGAAAGGTTAAGTAAAGCTCAAACCTCTAATAAAGCTACACTAAAGTACGGAAGAACAAAGGAAAACCAAACATAAAAAAACCACACCCACCTCATATGAACACTCGGAGCCACCATTCCACCCATTTGTTGAGCACACAACACAGCATCATGAACCGAAGGGAAGAAGTAATGTTTAGGTACCACTTCAAATCCCTCACACATTTTGAATCGATGTCGAATGGTTGAGTTTACAGCGGCATACAATATCCTAACCTTCTTCTCAGCCATTTGTTCAAAAACATCCCTCATCGCTTCTAGTCCAGCCGTGTCAATGGTTGGTACTGATGAGAAGTCGATTATACACACTTTTTGCATCGACGTGCCTGGGGCGTCAAAGTTTGGCTGAAATTTAAAATTGATTATAGTTAACAGCAGTCTAGCCAGGGTAGAGTAGGATACGGTAAGATAAGGTTGGGTAGATTAAGGAAGAGTTGAGAAAGAAAAGGGTAAGATAAGATAAGGCAAAGCAAGGTAGTGTAGGCTAAGGTAGAGTAGGGTAAAGTAAGTTAGAGTAAAGTAAAGCAAAATAAGGTAAGACAGAGTAAGACAGGGTAGTGTAGTATAAGATACGGTAAAATATGATAAAGTAGGGTGGAGAAAGATACTGCAAGGTAGGGTAAATTAAGGTAAAGTAAGGTAAAGCAGAGTAGTGTAGGACCATTTAAAACCAACTTTTCATAATTTTTAAAAAATTTGTGAACCGGTCCGCCTTTTGTTTTTTGACCAAAACATTACCAAATGAAATAAAAACTAATGCCATAACAAAACAGCATTACGAAAAAAATTTCAAAAATGTTTTAAAAAATAAAACTTACCACAATATCACCACTAATAAGCAATGTAGACCTCATTGGGATGTCTTTGACTGATAAAGCGTTGTTACTTTTCATACTTCCAGTACGAGTACCAATTCCAGGGCCTAGTAATTGGCTAAAACTATATTTTTAGAGGTTTTTCAAATAATTTCAAAAAAAAAATTTTCACGCCACCCAAAATTTTTTTTAACCCGCCCAAAAATTTTTTTTCACTCCTCTTAATATTTTTTAGAAAAAAACAAAAATTAGCGTAAAAAATAATACCCCACTCATAAAAAATTTTTACCCCGCCCAAATTTTTTTTTAAAAAAGTAAAACCCACCCCTTAATATGGCTGCAAGCCCAAGCCATGTCCCGTTTGAATTGATGCACATTATGGAACAGCAAAGCTGATTCAAACCTCACAATGGCTACCCTGTCTCTTCCAGTAGATCAGAGCCATAGCAATTCCTTTCAGCATAGTAAGTGCCTGACCCTGTGACGTTGACTAGATGCTGAAATTTGGGCCTAAAATACGATTAATATAATGGGTACAAGTTTAAAATGCCATTACAGACAAGTTATTTCAAATTTGTTAACATAAAATTTTTAAGAAAAATCTTGTCGTATTTTTGCATTAAAATAGTAGTTATTTGACGACAAGACTTTTTTTGCCATTTTAAAACGGCCAAATGTAACAAATGAAGACTTTTCAATACTGATAATAGTATTTGTAAGTAGGATAGGGTAGAATAGAGCAATAACTTACCATTGAGCCCTAAAAATGACGGTAAAAAGCCCAAAAACGGTCGATTTGATCAAAGCATCAGCTGAACTTGCAAAAAATATCGCACTTATCGATGCTACCACAAAAGTGCACTAAAAATGTAATTAACTTATAGAAATTCGAAAGGATAATATCAGAAGTTCGTATTTTACAAAAAATTGTTCTTACAGCATCAAGTTTGGAAACAGCCCATAGCAAGGTGAAATGGCGTGGTTCTTTCAAATATTCACCCATACTGTGAATGATCACTGCTGATAGAACACACTAAAAATAAATGTCGTATTTTACACCTTTTTTAATTAAAAAAATGGGTAATGTTAACTTACAATAGGTATGAACCCAAACAGATATTTCGACCAAAATACCATCGGAATGATGACAAAAACGATAAAAACATTGGTGAACTAAAATAAAATGTCATTTAATTATTTCATTTTATATTCATTCGAAATTTATTGCGTTTAGGCATTTCCCTGATTTTTAGGATTTTCGTTGTGGGACCACAAGTTCAGTATAAAATGTTAAAAAATGAAAAAAATTGTGTAAAATACGGATTAAAACTTTCTGCTTTCTAAATGCAATCAAAAAACTACAATTTTTTCAATTTTCAAAAATTAAGAGGTTTTCGTTGTGGTAGCCAAAATAAAAAAAACTGTATTGTAAAATACGCAAGTTTACAATTTTACTTTAAATATTTTCTGAAACCTGTCCTAGAGCAGCTGTCAACAATATAAAGCCTAAATTTTCAATTCTAACTAGTTTCAAGGTTTTCGTGGTAGGACTCAAAGTTTAATTTTTAAATTTAAATTTTCGCTAAAATCTAAAAAAATACAACTTAAAATCCAAAATAAATAAAAACTTACTATAGTACATGCCCCAGCATCAAGACCAATTCGATTGCGGTTAATCGACTGACTTGGTGGATGAGCTCCAAACAGGCTGGATATTGCGCTTGATACCACAACTGCTATTAGTTCCTAAAATTGAAAAAATTTAAAAAATTCTTGCTTGCTAAACCTTAAATCGACGTATTTTACAAACAAAATCGTAACCCACCTGCCGACTGTCCATTTGATATTTGCATATTCGACTCATTTCTCCAGCCGCATAATAGTGCATTGCATAGACCAATAATGCTAGTGCGAATGCATCGTATGTCACATCACAAAACTGTTGATATGATGGCAGACTGACAAGATTCCATCCTGTGCCAAAATGACGTAAAACTTCAACACCATAGTTATGTTGCATATCAAAGCCGTAGGCTATGAATCCGGTTACTATCATCTAAAAGGAGGTAGAGTTAAGATAAAGTAGAGTTAGGTAGGTCAGATTAAGGTAGTTTAAAATAAAGTAGAATAGGGTAGAATAGAGCTTCATAGAGTAGGGTAGGGTAAGGTAGGGTGGGCTGGAATAAGATAGAGTAAGGTAAGTTAAGGTAAGGCAGGATAAGGTAGAGTAAGGTAGGACAAGGTAAGACAGGGTAAAATATGAGCGGGTTGGGTACAATAGGATAGCGTAAACTAAAATAAACAAACTTACCAACACAAATTCGAAAGGAACAGGTATATTAACATGATTTTGAATAAGTGGACCAATAATCTGCCGAACAAACAATAATATCAAGAACGATGATACAGCAAAAGATAATGTGTAGATGTTCAAGAATCGAAAACAATCCCAGATTGATAAAACGCACTAAAAATTTCAAAATTATTAAAAAAAATTTTTTTTTAATTTCAAAATTATTAAAAAAAATTTTTTTAAATTGCGCTGTGCAAACAAAAAATTTAAAAAATTGCACTGTGAATTCACAAAACTAGAAAATTGCACTGTGCAGTCGTTTTTTACCTTTTAAAATTCAAAAAAAAATTAAGGGTAAGGTAAAGATAAATAAAACCTACCCCATTTCCAGTGAAATTCAAAGTCTCTTGGCCGCCAAAGAATAGCGGAAAAACATTTGCACTTTTATTCAAATGTAAAGCTTGATATGCACTTAGAAAGGTGCATTGTTTGAAACTAGGTGGCACTGTCTTTGATGCTAGTATTGATACCTAAAAAATAAATATTTTAAAGCTTGTTACCTAAAAATGTAAAGAAGCTTTCTAAGAACTTGTTACCTAAAAATAGAAAAGTCTCTATAATTATTGGCTAAAACGTTATGAAACTTATGTTTTGTTACCAAAAATTATCAAAAAGCACAAAATATTTACTTTACATCTAAAACTTCATACCTAAAACAAGAAAAAGTCAAATTTGTTGTCCTAAAAATGTTAAAACACAAATTTCTCTAGCCCAAAATAAATTGAATTCCAATTAAAAATAAATTTTTTGCCTAAAATAAACAAAACTCAAGTAACTTATATCTAAACTTATGAAAAACGTTGTTTTTTGCCAAAACTTGTCCATTTTTTTCAAAACCAGAACTGAAGGAAAAGATCAAGCTGACAAGGAAAGTGCCCGACCTGCCCCGCTCTGATTGACTTCAAACTTTTTATATAGAAAGATCATGTAAATATAAGATCTTCAGCAAAGTACTAAATCGCGCTTTCCAGGAAATCTCGAGAAAATCGAGATTGAAAAATGTCATTTTGAATTTCCCGCCAACTTGGCATTGTGTTTCAAGCTTGTAACTTTGTCATTTTTTGACTGTTAATTATTTTTCTTTAATATACTAGTAGATAACCTTTAAATGAAACTACATTTTTAAATTTGCAAGCGTATCTTGTCTGGAAAGTCAAAAAAAGTGCTTGAAACACAATGCCAAAGTTGCCAAATTGGCGGGAAACCCAAATAATTTAAATTTAAAACTCAAGAGCGCGAGCTAAAATTTTTTATGGGTACTATTGGTGGTACAAAGAATTCATATAAAAATTTTGAGCTGATTCTGAGCGGGGCAGGTAGGGTACTTTCCTTGTGAGCCCTATACCTCGAGGATAAGAATTTTTTTAGGTAACAAAACCCATTTTTATGATTTTTGACCGTTTTTTCAAGATATAGGTAAAAGAATATTTAAATTTTGCAAAAGCTTGATACCTAAAAATTAAAAAAAAATTGAATTAACTTACAGTTGCTGACAGGTCAGAAACGCATTGATTGCCACGAACATGTAGAATATGTTGTAGTTGACTGAAGATGATTCGAATACCCGTTCCGAAACAAATACCTCCAACGACGTGCTTTGATACATACGTGAACAGGAATTCTAGCCTCAGCATGTAGATCAGGGCCTGAAAATGACAATTTTTAAGTTACTCTAGCCTTAGCCCTAGCCGAGAGCCCTACCTCTAGTCCTAGTCCTATCTTCACGTATATATCCTAGCCTTATCAATCCTATAGCCTTCCGCCAGGCTTATATTATGTTTTTCAAATAATTCTGAGCCCCATAACCCGGAAAATTTTTTTCGAGCTGAGCACAGAATTATTTGAACAGCCTAATATATAACTGAATATAAGTTATCTTACCTGAAAACCAGCAGTAAGAAAGGTCAAAGCAGCAGCATAGCCAAGTTGTTCTTCGCCACGTAATACCTCATCATAGGCATCACCTTTCGGGTCCATCAAGTAGATATAGTCCTGTGGAATTGAAAAACGTTCCAGCATGTTTCGAAAGAAGTAGCATATGATGGCGTTTGTACCTGGAAAAAAAAATTTCAAAAAATTTTAAAAACTTTACAAAAATTTTTAAAAAATTTGAAATTTGTTCAAAAATTTAAATAAAATTCCAAAAACATACCCAAAAAGCTGAAAGGTGAAGTTCCACATATTATGTAGACAAAGCAAGCCACACAAGTTGTATATAACCCACAAACTGGCGGTAAACCGGACAAAAATGAAAATGCCAATCCTAAAATATATGTTTTGTAAAATACGTCTCTATACACTAAACAGCGCCAACGTATATCATAAATAACCTTTTCAATGGTTTATAGTGTTTGTAAAGAAATTTATGGTAATTTTATGTTTTGTAAAGAAAGTTTTTGCAATTTTTTATCACGTAAAGAAAGCTCTTGCAATTTTTTGTTTTGTAAACAGAATTCTTGCTATATTTTGTTTTGTAAAGAAAGTTATTGCAATTTTTTGTTTTGTAAATGAAGCTCTTGCCATTTTTTGTTCTGTAAAGAAAGTTCTTGCCATTTTATGTTTTGTAAACAAAGTGCTTGCCATGTTTCGTCCTGTAAAGAAAGTTCTTACCCTGTGACAAGCTCAACAACCCCAAGCACATTCCACTGTACAAGTCGCCAATAAAGTCCTTCTGAATATCATATTTGGGTATCCAATGAAAGATGGGGATGTAAGTCTCCAGTAGGTTCAATAACTGTTTGACTTGACTGACATTTGGATCATAAATAACCGGTTCATTGGCCGAGAATCGTCGTCGCGGACTTCTGACATTCAATCGACAACAAATGCAAAAGTCTGTGGTGGGTGTGTCATCCGAGTAGTGGTGGTATTTTGATGACTTTAGGTAGTTAAATTTTGTGTCGAATTCGTCCTGGAGAAACAATGTAAAAATAGGTTTTTTTGTAAAATACGAAAACAAAATATACAACTTTTTAAAAACATTTTTAAGCTAAGGCTTATTAGGCTTGGGCTTTTGGGTTTAGAACCAGTAAGCTTAAACTTGGTGGGCTTGGAAAGAGTTAAGCAACAACATGAGGTCAGGCCAAAGCTGAGCTTAAGCTAGAGCTAAAGCTAACAATAGCGCCGCAGGCAGGGTAAGTCTAAAGCTAGAACTAAGCCTTAAGTTAAGATTTGGCGATTAAGCTAGCAATGGTAATAAGCCAAGGTTAAGACCTAAGGCTAGGGCTAAGGCTAGGACTAAGGCTAAAGCTAGGGCTAGAGCTTTCGGCTAGGGCTAAAGCTAGGGCTAAAACTAGGGCTAAGGCTTTCGGCTAGAGCTCTGGGCTAGGGCTCTGGACTAGGGCTCTAGGCTAGCGCTCTGGGCTAGCGCTCTGGGCTAGGGCTAAAGCTAAGGCTAACAAATATAAACTACAATACCTGATTCATAGGTGCCCGTCTAGCACCCAACAGATGCATTCCAGCATTTGGCACATCCATGGATGCAAACGATGCCCTCGAGGCAACACGCCTCGGCCTTGGAGTCTCCAGTTTGGACACAATGATACGGCCAATTACAGCGAATGTATAATTAATTTCTGAAATCAACAAAAACAACTTGCAAAATGACACTGACACAGGTAGGAAATTGGTGAGTACGCAATTTAAATACGCAAATTTAAACGGTGTACTGAGAAAAAACGGTATTTTATGGCTTCATAACGTCATTTTTGCTTCAAAATGTCAGACTTCTTAAAATTAGCGAAAACTTTCTTTACAAAACAAAAAATGGCAAGAACTTTCTTTACAAAACAGAAAATGGCAAGAACTTCCTTTACAAATAAAAAATGGCAAGAACTTTCTATACAAAACAAACAATTTTTTAATTTCGCGCAAAAAAAATATTTAACCAAAACTTGTTTCCAAAAATGAAAATTTCGCACTTCCTCCGCATTATTAAAACAAAAATCTGGCGGCGGTCTTATCCCAACTCCCCTATGTATGTAATTAGTGGAGGAAATTAACCGTCGTGTATAACGTTGTCAAGGATTACAGCCGGATTAACACATCTTTAATCTGTAACTCTTCGGTCGCTCAATTGCCTTTTTGAAATGGAGATATAATTTTAACTATGTTGTGAACAAGGCAGTTTTAATAGGCATGTCAAAATAATTATAAACTGAAGATAGGAATGAAACCAGAGCTAAGGCTAAAGGTACGCTATGGGGCTACAGTTGGGGTTATGGCTATGGCTAAGGGTAAGGCAATGGCTAAGGCTAAGGCTATTAAGACTAAGATTTCGAAACCTATATAGGGCAAAAGAGTAAGCGTAATTCTTCTAACTTAAGCCTAAGACTTCTAAACCCAAGCCATCTAAGCAGGCCTTCTAAGACTAAGCCTTCTAAGGTCAGGCTTTCTAAGCCTAAGCCTTCTAAGCTTAAGCCTTCTAAGACTAAGCCTTTTAAACATAAGTCTTCTAAGGCTCAACCTTCCAACCCCCCAGTCTTCTAAGCTACACCTAAAGCTACAAATAGTAAACCTAGTATAAGATAGTTTAACTGTCGGTCCTACCTCTCGCCTCAGCTCCCAAAGCTTGACTTCCTCCCAGTTCTGGCTGTTATAGTTAAAGCTAGGACCAACATGTAATACCTTACACTTTATAGCTGTCACGTGTTGTAATTAAAATCTTTATTTTAAATTGTTTTCATTATCAATTGTTTACAAATGTATTGTTATTAGAGCCTTTATTTCTAAATAAGGGTCATTATAAAAAGTGCGTTATTATCATACTATTACATACTTTATTATCAATAAAGCTCCTATCTACTTCTTGAACCAAGTCTCGATAGGAACACCAGCCAAGAATCCACCGTCTACATTAATATAAGCTCCAGTAGTATAACTAGCCTCCGGGCTAGCCAAAAACAGAACAGTTTGTGCAATTTCATCAGCCTCGCCCAGCCTTTTCATAGGTACCAGATTGTCGCATACTCGATGGTACGTCTCTTGGTACTGATCGGTTGACATGCCATGTCTAACTCGGAAGTCTGTAGGTATGAAGCCAGGAGCTACGATATTAACTCTAACACCATCTTTAGCATACTGTAAAGCTGCTCCTTTACTGTAGTGGTCTAGTGCTGCTTTAATTACAGTGTACGGTAGTGCTGCTGTTGATACTCGCTCTGAGCCAACAGATGATATGTTGATGATATTACCCTTGGTTTTGGATAGGTGGGGGATTATTTTTGGAGTTAGTATGTAGATACTACAATGTTTAAGTTTAGGCTTGCACTGCCATTTTAAGCTTTGTAAAGAAAGTTATTGCCACTTTTAGCTTTGGAAATTTTTATGTTTTGTAAAAAAAATTCTTGCCCTTTTTCGATTTGTACGGAAAGTTCTCTTCATTCCCACCTCCTACTCACCTTCTAAAGTTGACTTGATAGATGTAGTCCAAGCTCTTGACTGAATTGGCATCTTTTTCATCTGGATGATGAGCAATTCCAGCATTATTGACCAAAACATCGATTTGGCCAAATTTGTTCAGAGTTTCACTTATCAACCGATCTTGAGTGTCATCTTCTTGAATTGGACCTTTTACCACCAAATATCTGTCACTATTGACTCCATATGATTGTAGTTGGTCTAGAGTTTCCTGAAAAGGCATTTTCGTTAGTTTAACATTTAAAAAATTTAAATATTAAAAAAAGTTTAAAAATTTTTGAAAAACTTTTAAATTTAAAAAATTTCGAAAAAATTTGAAAAAAAAAATTTTTAATTTTTAAAATATTTATACAAAATGTGTTTTTACCTTAATTTTCTCCTCTCTCTGGCCATGCACAACAATATTTGCGCCTTCTTTACCAAAAGCAAGAGCTATAGCTTGTCCAATTCCTGAGCTTGAGCCAGTGACGATTACTGTTTTACCATGGAATCTCCCCAGTGAACACATATTCAAATCTAAAACAACATTTATGTTCATCAAAAATTGAAAAGAAAAAACGTTTTTTGGGTACAGTCTTGCCTATTCCGTCTAGCTAAACCAAAGGAAGGCTCACTAGATCTAATCCGGCCTCGAGGTCAAAGCAAATTTGATAAAAGAAAGGGCCGAGCCTACGCATGTGGGTTTGAAAGCCAGGGCCTAAGCCAAGACTCGGTCGGTGGGTCGGTTCGAAAGTTTTGGGACCGGTCCGGCCCCTTTATAAGCCTATGCCTAGCAAAAAAACCACAGTGAAACACTGTATAAAACAATATTCTTACTAAAAACGTCACCAACTTGTTGCTATTCACTTGTTTTTCGCTGCTTTGGACTCGTTTATATAGTAGGTTTTGTGCAATAAACAAACTTCATTTGTTTGTGCTTCGTATATTATAGGTTAAGTTGAAAAAAGGAGTGTTAAGTAGAAACTACAACACAAATGACGTTTTTCACAGCTGACCTCACTCTTTTTACTCTGTTGCAAAGTAGTGATCAAAGAACTATTCAACAACTTTGATTAAAAAGGGAAAGACAAGTCAATACAGAAACCTACCCTACCCTACTCAACCCTACCCTACCCTACCCTACCCTGCCCTGCCCTGCCCTGCCCTGCCCTGCCCTGCCCTGCCCTGCCCTGCCCTGCCCTACCCTGCTTTGCCCTACAATACCCTACCCTATGCAATCCTACCCTACTATAACTTCAGCATTACTGCCCTGTTGTAATCAACCATACCATTCCTTATCTTTTTCTTGTTCAAGAAGGGTATGGTAGGGGACCAGAAGAGTCTTCTCGGTCCGGCCCTAAAACCAAGACCAGGACCGCAGTCCTATATTGCTTGGCTAAACCGGACCAATACATCAGTCCCGTCCGATACAACAGCCACCTCTAGTTCTACCACACCCTTCTCTTACTGTAATTTACTTTACCTGATTCCCTAATGATCCTACCGCAACCTTTGTCTAATCCAAGCCTTACTTTGACATCAAGTACGGTAATTTACCTAAAGTCAAAGTAAGGCTTGTAACATATACAATTTTTGATTGAACATATTTTTTTATTCACATCAACTAGTAAATATCACTGTGGTAATGTAGTACTTCAAATTATGGTAAAAATATCAACTTCTTTTAAATAAACCACCACTTTATGACGTTTCTTTAAGCCACCCACTCCTCATTTAAACCAAATCTCAACAGGAACACCAGCCAACAGACCACCATCTACATTAAGGTAAGCCCCAGTAGTGTAGCTAGCCTCATCGCTAGCCAAAAACAAAACCGTTCTTGCTATTTCATCAGCCTCACCCAGTCTTTTCATAGGTACCAAATTATCACAAGCGCGTTGATAAGTTTCTTGAAATTGATCTGTCGACATACCATGACGTACTCTAAAGTCTGTAGGTACGAAACCTGGCGCTACAATATTAATTCTCACTCCATCTTTGGCATACTGTAATGCTGCGCCTTTGGTATAGTGGTCTAGCGCTGCTTTCATTACAGAATACGGTAGAGCTGTAGTGGACAGTCGATTAGAGTAAATCGACGATATGTTGATGATATTACCCTTGGTTTTGGATAGGTGTGAGATTATTTTTGGAGTTAATGTGTAGATACTAAAAGTCAATACAATTTGACTTGTAAAGAAAGTTCTAGCCATTTTTGTTTTGTAAACTAAGTTTTTGCCATTTTTTGTTTTGTAAAGAAAGTTCTTGCATATTTTGTTTTTCTAATAAAATTTCATGTCATATATTACCTTGTAAAGAAAGTTGTTGCTGCTTCTTTTAAAAATATTTAAAGTTAAGTTTTGTGCAGGCTGCAAAAGACAAGTTATACGCTGAATAATATTTTTCGTCTTTTTGTGCCTTGTAAGCAAAGTTCTTGCAATTTTTTTTGGCTTGTAATGAAAGTTTTCGCCATTTCGTAGTTTTAAAGGACCAGTCCGGATAACTTCTTTTGTCGCAAAGATTTTTCGTTTTGGCTGTTGAACTTTTTTCGCGCCAAACGTCAGCGGGTACACTGGATAAATGATTTCCTTTATTCCAAATCGACTCGCTCACGTTTTGCGCCAAAAAAGTTCGCGCTTCCCTGATTGCCTGATCTGTTGCAGAAAAGCCTGACAAAAGACTTATCCAAACTGGTCCTTTAAACCATTTTTCATATTTAAAACTAAATTTAGTCAAATATTTTTAATACCGCTCGTGTAATCGATAAACGCTGTGCAGTCCCAAAAATTGATGGCACAGTGCAAAACGCCATTGACTTACCTTCTAAAATTGACTTGATAGATGTAGTCTAAGCTCTTGACTGAATTGGCATCTTTTTCATCTGGATGATGAGCAATTCCAGCATTATTGACCAAAACATCGATTTGGCCAAACTTGTCCAAAGTTTCACTTATCAACCGGTCTTGAGTGTCATCTTCTTGAATCGGGCCTTTTACCACCAAATATCTGTCACTATTGACTCCATATGATTGTAGTTGGTCTAGAGTTTCCTGAAAAGGCATTTTTTATAGCTTAAGCCAAAAAATTTTCGAAATTTAAAAAAATTCTGAATTTGTTTATATTAAAACAAAAAAACTCTTAAAAATTATTTTTACCTTAATTTTCTCCTCCCTCTGACCATGCACAACAATATTTGCGCCTTCTTTACCAAAAGCAAGTGCTATAGCTTGTCCAATTCCTGAGCTTGAGCCTGTGACAATTACTGTTTTACCATGGAATCTGCCCATTGAACACATCTCAAAACCTAAAAAAATTCTTTGGTGTCAAAAAATTTTTAAAAACGATTAAAAAATCAAAAGCCATCTATAACATTGCAATTCTTGGGCTTGGTAAAAAAAATTAAATGTTAAGGAAGGTTAACGCTAGATAAAGTGTGACGTAGAAAATGGGTATAACAAGGTAAGATAGAGTATAGAAAGGTCGAGTAAGGTAGAATAGGGTAAGATAGAGTCGGTTAGGGCAGAGTAGGAAAAGGTATGACAGCATAAGGTAGAGTATAGTAGAGTAAGATAGACCTAGGTTGCGTAACGTAGTGTAGAACAAAGTAAGGTAAAGAACTATATAACGAAGTAAGTCAAGATAATGGAAGGTAGGGTTGAGTTGTTTACAAAAAAAATTACAAAACTCCAACTATTATATTAAGCATTAGCGATTGTTGTTGTTTTCCTATGTTTTTGGTAGCTTCAATCCCTTTTATAAATACCCATCAAATTGTTTATGTATAGTACAGGGGCGTTTCTAAAGATTTGTTTCTAATATAAGGTGTATCCAGCCCCTTCCCTAACTATGTCCCCAGTTTCTTATATTTTATAGGCGGTTTAAAATAAGTGTAGAGAAGAAACTACAATGCAGAATTTTCTGGTTATTATAGTTTCTTTTATATTATACTTTGTGTTGCAACTAACAAGTCATCAAAAAAAAAACCATTGAAATCATTCGCAAAGCTACATTCCATATAGCAAGAACTTTCTTTACAAGCAAACTAAAAAGCGAAAACTTTCTTTGCAAAACAAAAATATCGATAATTTTCTTTACAAAACAGAAAATAGCAAGAACTTTCTTTACACAACAAAAAATGGCAAGAACTTTCTTTACGAAACAAAAAACGGCAAGAACTTTCTTTACAAGCAAACTAAACAGCAAAAACTTTCTTTCCAAAGCCAAAAAACGTTTTAAAACAAATTTTTATTCCAAAGAACCTAACAAATTTACTCGATTTTTCAATATTTTATAAATCTACATCAATATCATTGAATTGACTCTATTTCTCATCAATACCCATACCTCTAAAATACGAAAATGGCCTTTTCTTTAGCTTGAAGACCAATCTCCAACACTTTCTTGTACTCTTCCAACGGGTATTCCTTATATGGAGCCGGCTTCAGCTCTCCATCGATGAATAACTGTGCCAATTTGTCGTACATTCGTCGACGTTCGTCCAGATTCGCTGTTACCGTATACCAATGTGACATCCAGAAGCCTCGGAGGCTAATGTCTTTGAAGATGAGTGGCCCTGTTGGGGTCTGAGTTGGTTGTTTCGACATGCCACCGTATGTTACCATACAGCCTTGGTCGGTTAGGGTGCGACAGAGTTGGAAGGAAGACTTGCCTCCGACACAGTTTAGTGCCAGCCGGACGTTGGTTATGTCACGGACCTTTTTGGCAAACTAAAAATTTTGAGTTTGATACTTCAAAAGCAATCTTTAAATACTATTTTTGGTACTAAATAGTATCTTTAGTACTAAATAGTACTTTTAACACGAAATAATAAATTTTGGTACTAAATTGCACGTTCGGTATTGAACAGTACTTTTGGTACTAAATAGTACCTTTATGCTAAATAGTACTAAGGCTAAAAGTAAGCATTAAAAATAGTACCAAAGACTATATATTCAAAAACTCTCTTTCCAGTCATAATAAGGCTTCTAAAAGTCTTGTAGTCATTTTATTAGGATTTTCAAAGCAAAAAACGACAAGACTTTTTAAAATCATAACCAAAATATTTTAGGTATCAAAATTCATTTAACATTATTAAAAAACCCTTTTTAAACTCAAGAACCACATAAAATATTTAAAAAATATCAAAGACATACCTCTTCTTCAGTATAGACAGCATCAGCTCCCAGACCTTCCAATTCCTTCTTTAACTTATCAGCACCTGGTCGGTCCCGGATAATATTTATTGATTTCCAACCAAAAATACGACATAACTATAAAAATTTGATTAGGAATGGCAAATTTCTTTACAAATCAAAAAATGGCAATAACTTCTTTACAAAAACTAAAACAACAAGAACTTTCTTTACAAGCCTCCAAACCAAAAACCTCCACTTTACACAACATATTATAAAACCACTTACCTGTATAGCAAACCGTCCAACAGCAGAATTGGCGCCATTCTGAATTACAGTATCTCCTTTGTTGAGGCTGACAAAGTCATGAAGCATACGATAAGCTGTAGGCGGATTGACTTGGAAAACAGAAGCATGAATCTTGTCCAAGTTTGAATTCAATGAGAATAAGCTGTTTTCGTCATGAACTGAATGAGTAGTCCAGGTTCCAAGACCTGACTGAACTGGTATCACAAGATCTCCTGGCTTTAAGGAGGTGACGCTTGATCCTACCTTAAATTTTAAAAGTTTTTAAAATTGTAGCAAAGAATAAAGAAAAAATAAGTTTTTTAACTCTTTTTTTTTGTTTTTAAAAGCCATTTCCAACTGCACAGTGCAAAGAAAAATAAAAGAGGCTGCACTGTGCAAGAAACATAAATATTGCACAGTGCAGTCTAACTCGCCTAATCACAAAATTTTTTATTTTTTTAATTTAAAAAATAAAATTGTAAATAATATTCCTAAAGTCATAATAACCCTCTATACAAATTTTAAAAACAATATGGCCTCTTTTAAAAAAGTTATCCCCAATCAAAAAACTTGCACCGTGCAAATAATCAAACTTTGCACAATGCAAAAACACCAATATTAATACACAGCAACTGCAGAAACCTATTATAAAATCCCCACCTTTTCCACAGTAGCACACCCTTCGTTTCCTCCAATAGCTGGCAATTTTGGTTTCACTGGATATACACCTTGAAGTTGATTGATATCAGCCGGGTTCACCGGTGCCGCGTTCCATTTGATTTGTACCTGATCAGCCTTTAGTTCGCTTGGTAATTCAAAGTTTTCCAGTTTTACAACATCGGATGGATCACCGTAGCCTTCGTATATCAATCTTCTGCCGGAAATTGAGCGAATCGAAATGAATTTGGTGAAATTCTTAATTGCCACCGGGTTGATTTTAAACATACTGGCTGAAATATTGTTGTATAAAATAGAGAAGGGATTTTACTTTAAATCGACAGCAATTTTTAGTATAATATCATTCAAAAAATAGCCGAAAACATTGCCCAACATCAAAATTTTCGCTATTTCCAAAAACTCAACTTTCCGCTAGAAATGAGCAACGGGCCATGCCCAATTTTCAAGCCCGGCCCGCGGGCCGGTCCTAACTTTCAAACTCGGCTCGCTTTTGGTCAGGCCCGGCCCGTTGCTCATGTCTACTTTCCGCCATTTTAAATCAAACACAAATAGCCGGTATTATACCACTTTATATTATTTCAAAACTGGTAATTCAACTTTTTATTTGAAATTTAAATCAAATTTCAACTTTTATTTCACATTTAAATTAACGTTTCAAATTTAATTTAACATTAAGAACCATAAACAACAATGAGTATCACTTGGCCAACAATTTCAACCAATTTTTTACAATAAAGTAGAATTCGACGCTTCGCATTGTTTTTTACACGAAATGTCACTCGGACTTTATTTCATCTTTTGGTATGACGTGGGCCAGGCTAGCTTTCTCCAAAAGTCTTCGTCGAAGCTCGGCTTCTTCCTCTTCCAACGTTGGAGTCGAGCCCTTCTTCTCTTTCTTGACCTTCTTTGGTGTTGGGGATCGGCTTGAGTGTTTGCTCTTCTTGCTCTGTAACAATATTTTTAGTTATTGTTAGATATTCATGTCATTTTAGAATGTTAAAGAAAGTTATTGCCAATTTGGTTTTGTAAAGAAAGTTTTGTATGAAACTTTTTTGCAATTTTATGTTTTTTGAATAAAGTTCTTGCCATTTTTCGTTCTCATCAAAATCTATACCTTCTAAGCACCCAAAATTTATATTCCACTAGGTTTAGCGCTTTTAAACCCAAAGTCCTCACCTTTTTAGGACTCCTTGATCTGCTTCTCTTCTTTTCCTTCCTTTCTTTGTCCTTTTCTTTGTCTTTTGATGATTTCTTGGATGACTTCCTGTCATGTTTGTCCACAGATTTTTCTTTTTCTCGTCTGTCTCTGTCTGAACCACGCTCTCTATCGCCTCTATCATCTCGATCACGTCGACGGTCACGGTCTCTATCCGAACGATCTCTTGAGCGACTTCTCCGACGTCGGGGGGATCTACTAGAACATATAGTTATATCTTATGTGAGGGTGTGAAATTTGAGTATCAATAGCACCAATTTTATTAAAGTTAAACACATTAATTTACTTTTATACTGACTTACAAATAAAACGTATTTTACCAACCAAAGAATGATTAAAACCTTCAAAATCATATTAACCTTCTTACCTGCTTTTTCTTTCTCTGTCTCTATCCTTTGATCTTCTACTCTCTCGCTCCCTAGACCTTATTGAGCTTCTTTCTCGTGATCTACGTGGACTTCTATCTCTCGAACGTTTTCGTGGCGAAGATGATCTACGACGACTCCCACTTCTTCCTGATGCTGGCGAATACGCTCCACCTACAATAATATTTTATAAAGTGTTGTAAAATAAGTTTATTAGAAAATGTGATTTATGCCGTCAAGTTTCATGCTCGTATTTTACCAGATTTAGAAAGCTAAACCTTAAAAATAACCAAAAATGTATTACTTACTAATATCAGCAGCTTCTTTTCCTTCATTTTGCCTAATCATCTCTTCTACTTCCTCCAAAGCTTGATTAGCCGTCTTTTGTTTAGGCTTAATGATCGCCACTCTTGAGTGTTGAATTCTAAACCAAATACAATTATTTTAATACAATACACTGCATTTTACAAAGCCGTTTAATTATATATTGTTATCTAAAACAACATTTCTAAAACTTATACGTCCAAAACCCAAAAAAGCAAATTTTCAAATGCCTATACCTATATTAACAACGAGAAGCCCTAAAATACCACCAATAAAACAAATCTTACTTCAAAGCCCGTCCATTATAATCCAGCCCATTATTTTGTAATGCCATAGGTACTGATGATTGTTTACTAAACTCCACATAAGCATAAGCACAGTTTAAAGCATCGTTTTCTTGTGTCATACGAAGATACATCACTTCACCAATGCAAGCGTTCAAAAATTCCATTAACTTTGATCCATCCGTACCTTTTTCCAAATTTCCTACGTAAACGGTTCGTCTAATTTCTTCGACTTTAGATGGCTCTGTATCGACTGGCAGTGGTGGATAAGCTGGTAAACCGAGGGAAGACAAAGTTGGATCGTTTGTGTATAACTAAAACAATATTTTTTGTAAAAAAAGCTGTGCTTCATATTGTAAAAGTTGTTTTATTAGTTAGTTAATAATGCTTTACAATCTTTAAGTCCAAAAACTTCAAGAAAAACCAAGTTTTCTTCAAGTTATGACCAAAACCATGTTATCATACTTACCTAAAACCGGAACAAAACAAAAACAGAAAAAAAACTTACCATTTCTTCATCGCCATTTCGTTGAACTGAATTTGTAACACTAGGAGGAAGTTGTCGTTGTCCTGGTAAGGAAGGACCAGTCCTTAACGCCGTCTCTTCATCAGGAATCTTATCTAAAACAACAGTAAGCTATACATCAGTAGTTGACTTACTTGATGGCGCTGGAACACAAACCAATGCTCGGTCAATGAACACAGTATTTGTTAAATGCTGCCCAATCTCGACACATGATTCTCGATCAAATTTGACAAAAGCAAACTTTTCCGAAGCACTTCCTTCAGACGGATACAACTAAAATAAAGTAACTCCAAATATTCTAAAAGATTATGTCTAGAACAAGATAAAAAAAGTCAAAACTTACAGCAAACTGAACGATGCGTCCAATATAAGAAAACAATGTGTTAACCTGTTCTTTGGTGGCACTCGGCGAGATGTTGGTCACCTGAAGAACGCAAACTTCCGTTTCGGACATGACTTTATATTAAACAGCCATATAAAACACTAATTACTATTTTCTGATACCTTTTAAGACGTAAAATTATAGGTATTAGTTAGAACAAACAAATATCTTGTCGAAATTGTTTGTTTCGGAAAAGAAATAATTTTCAGTAAAAAGCTTTTTTAAACGACATGTTATACGATGGAAAGTGTTTATAAATATCAAATGACCGGGTGATATATACCTAAATTATAAAAATTTTATGTTTTAAAAGTTTCTTATATTTTAATATACTACTTCAGCTTAAATAGTATTGTAGAACGTTGTTTTGTATAAAATACAATCGACCAGTAAAGAGACTGTTTGGCCCCGCAACGAAAACCATGACCGCGGCGCAAAAGCATTTTAAAATAAAAAATTTCGTTTTTCTTTAATTTTTTTTCGGAAAGGTACTTTATGTAGACATGAGCAACGGGCCGGGCCGGGCCTGAGCAAAATCGAAAACGGGCCGGGTTTAAAATCTAGGCCCGGCCCGCGGGCCGGGTTTGAAAATTGAGCCCGGGCCCGAAAAAAAAATTTTTTAATTTTTTAAAATTTTTTATTTTATTTGTTTTACTTTCATTTTTACATCAAGTTATTATTTTTTACTTTCATATTATGTTAGATACCTAAAAATTATTTTTTATAATATTTTTGGTTAGTTTTTGTTTTTTCGCGTTTTGTCGACCGGTCGATTATGAAAAGGCGAAGTAGTCCGGGTGGATTAGAATGGCGTATTTCCAGGATGCGACGAATTGACAATGGCCGAAGTGTAGGAGGGAAGAAAGTCCAAAAGTTGCTGGAATTTTTCAACCAGCACTTGCCAATGGTTGGAGTTACCGAAAAGACGTTGATTTCACCTACTGTAAGCTCTTTTTTAATTTTTTTTTGGTTTTAGGTACTGAATTTAGAATTGAATTAGGAGTGGATGGTAAAGAAGGGTTGGATGTCTAGGATAATATAATTTTTAGTTTATAATGTTTATTTTTGTAGAGTGACGATGTCCAAAAGATATATGCGGCAATGCTGGTGTATACTGGTGTTACTGAGGAAAGAACTCTTTGTTTCGAAGATGTTGGAGATGAAGATGAAGCTGCGGCCAATGGATGTGTGCTTTTCGAGGAGTTGTAAGTTTATAACTGTTTGTATCTTTCGAACTTTTTTATAAACATGTACAACTTGCTGTGTTTTTTTTACTTTGATTTTAGCACCTTAAAATCTTTTCAGATCGGTCTTTTTTAAAAAGTACAACGATAGCTACCGCTTCAATATCAGCGACTTAGTATCGCCGGATTCTGCCAGATTCCTTCAATTTTTACAAGATTTGATCAAATTTTACAACGTTAGAATACAAAGGCAGAACGATTTGGCCGAGGTTTTTAAAGAAAGGGTGAGTTTATTATCGTTATATTGTTTTTTACTTTAGATTTGTATTTTTTGATCATTGTGGCTGAGAGCAAAATCTTAAGGAACGTGATGTTTGAAGGGCCTCTTTTAAAGTTCATGCTATTTTTTATCGTTAAAAAGCCGCTTTTGTTAATTTGGGGTATTTTACATTGTTTGAAATAGTTTTTTGTGTTAAATTTTTAGGTACCTTTTGGTTTAAATAAGTGTTTTTAAGTTTTAGGTATTATTTATAAAGTTTGCGTATCATTTATAAGGTTTGATGTTTAGGATGCCATTCAAAAGCGACAAGCCGAAGCCCCGTTGATATTGGATTCGTTGAGAGAGGATGTTCAACACACAATGGACAGTTTGGACAATTTAAGGAGGAAAAAAGTTGAGGTAAGTCTATAACTTCAACTGGAAGTTCAGGGATGGGAGGAGGAAACGTTTTTTCAAAAAAACATTTTAGCTAGCCTACCAAATCGAAAACCTGAAGAAAGCAGAAACAGCTCAAAAAATCGAGATTAACAGCCTAGACGAAGCCATCCCTAAAACCGAACTAGAAATCCAAGAACAACAACAGAAGCTAGAGGCCACGAAGGAACGGATACGCCTAATGAACGAGGAAATCGCCGAACTCAAGGGAAAACTCATTCAATCACCTGACCGACAGAAAAGCGAAATGCGACAACAGGAGAAAGACCTCGACCGGTTGAACACTGAAGTCCAGATGCTCGAAACCTCCATAACCAACTTTGAAAACCTGCTGAATCAACTAGAGCAAGTGGATCATCATTACTTCAATTTCATGGAGTCATTGAACAGCATCAAAGAGGAATATAAGAAGATCACCAAAGCTCAACACATCGCATCCTCACTGCAGAAGGAGCTAGAAGAAGCCATTATGAAGAATAACCAAAAACAAGATGAACTGAAAAGATTAACTCATACATACGAAGCCGAGAAGAATTCAGAAGCCCTGAAGCACGATCGACTGAGCAATGAGGTTCAACAATATGATACATGGGCTTTACAGCTCAATGAGTAAGTTATAGGAGTTATTAGGTTTGGATACGCTAAATTTTGGCCTAGTTATATAATACCAGTAATTTGAGTTGATAATGAGGATAACTCTTGAAATTTATATTATAGTAGGTGTGGGGTCATAAAAAATTCATTTTTCGAATGAATAGTCGGAATAGCTTAAAACTTGAGGAGAAATGTCAAAACCTTAATGTAAAGTTTAGATTTAAAGCTGTTTTTTTTTATTTAAGGCTTTATTACCTAATTTACCAATTTTTCAGGAAAAAAGAGAATTTATGCGCCAAAATCGCCGAGCATCAAATCAACCTGAACACATTAAGAGACAGAAACGCCGACATCAGAAAACATCTTCAAGATTACAATGTAAGAGAAACGCTACAAGATTACGAGCAGGAAAGGAAGCTCCTCGAAGACAGATTGACTCAATTACTGGACAAAAAGGTGGATCATATGGACAAAATTAAAAAGTTACAAACTATCATTGTCAAAATGGAATCCCAGATCGAAGATGCTCTGAAAATTCGACACAAAAACTTTGAACAACACCGTGATGAAGTGAAGAACAGAGAAACCATGAAAGACTGGGTTTACACTGAACAACAATACACTGAATGATTTACATTACTTACTTTATTTATATCTGTAAATAAATATTTTGATCCATTGGATGATTGTCTGAAGACTTATTTTTACCATCCTCTTATAATTTTATGTTCAATTGACTGTACGATGGCTACAAAGGCAGATGTTTCTAGTCCCACCACGAAAACAAGCGCTCGCAAAAATATTAAAACGAAACGCCACGAATTGTTGTTCTTGATCAAAATTATCTCTTTGACAAGTAAAAACGGACAAGAAGATTAAAATTTTGTTGGTTTTTTATTTTTATATAATTTTAAAATATTTTCCAAATATATTTTGTTATTATTCATAACATATTTTCTTATTTTACATTATCTTCTTTAGTTATGGCGGCGGCACGCCAATTATTGTTCCAGCCGCTGCGGCAAGGACTCCAGGCTTGTGGATCAGTCCGTAACTCTACAATTTGGTTTCCTGATTCCAAATTTATGAGGGATTTTAACGTGAGTTTTATTGTTTTATTGTTTTTTTGTTTTAGGTACACTGGCGAAGGAAGTATAGTGATGAGATTGGTTTTTGTTATAAATGTTTTTAAAAGATGGCTAGGGACTTCAAATTTTGTGAAATTGTAGATTGTTACTTTTGTCAACTTTTGTAAAAGAAATGTGCTTGAATTCTTAAAAAATTTGAAGTTATATTAGTTTAATTCAACGTAAACATAACTGAAAAATCTCGAATTTTGATGGCTCGCTTTTTCGTTTTCAAGCTATAATTTTGCTCTTACATTACTTATCTTTACAAAACCTTAGTAAAAAATATTTTTCATGCTTTAATTATCTTATAATTCAGAGTTCATAAAAAGTTTACCTAAACTTTGAAATTTTAGACTTGTGGTGAGGCCGGTCCAGTTTCTTGGAATTGGGGAGACACTCAACCTAACAGAGATGTCGAACTTAAAAAATACATTGACTTGTACCGTCAGGAGTCCGTCTACACCGACAATCTTGTTGGACCATACAGAGAGAAGCAGTTTGAGAATATGATTTTGAATTTTGGTCCTCAACATCCAGCTGCTCACGGTGTGTTGAGATTGGTGCTTAAGTTGGAGGGTGAAGTAGGTTTTTGGTGGAGTTAAGAGGTATTATTATTGAAAATGAAGCAGTAATTTAGGTTTTTAAAGCCTTAGGCGTTTTTTGTTTTTCTGTGTAAATTTATATTGTTTTAGGTAATTTTACATCTAAAATACATAAATTTAAAGTGTTTTGATTTATAATTATGAAAAATTGATTTTGCAATCTACTCATCTAAAGTTATACCTAAAATATAGAAACCTTATTTTAGGCTGTGATCAAAGCCGTACCCCACATTGGTCTCCTTCATCGTGCCACCGAGAAGCTGATTGAATACAAAACCTATACTCAAGCTCTTCCATACTTTGATCGTCTTGATTATGTGTCCATGATGAACAATGAACAAACTTTTGCCTTGGCTATTGAGAAGCTTTTGGGTATTGATATTCCACCAAGAGCCAAGTACATCAGAAGTAAGATTTTTGATTTTTTTGGTTTTTAGGTAATAATATGGTAAAATACGGCGTTTTAAAAATATAAAATGGCAGTAACTTTTTTTACAACAGGCAAAATGGCAAGAACTTTTTTTTGCAAAAGAAAAAATGACGAAAACTTTCTTTACAAAACGAAAAATGGCAAGAACTTTCTTTACAAAGCAAAAAATGGCAAGAACTTTCTTTAAAAAATGAAAAAATCTGATGTATGATTAAAAGAGGCAAAAACATATGAAAATGGTATTATTTTAGCTCTGTTCGCCGAGTTGACTCGTATCCAAAACCACATTATGGGTCTAACCACCCACGCCCTCGATATTGGTGCCATGACCCCCTTCTTCTGGCTTTTCGAAGAACGTGAGAAGCTGTTCGAGTTCTCCGAGCGAGTATGTGGTGCTCGAATGCACGCCAACTACGTACGACCAGGTGGTGTGGCCTGGGATCTGCCCTTAGGTCTTCTGGACGATGTTTACGATTGGGCGACGAAGTTTCCACAAAGAATCGACGAGCTGGAGGACGTGTTAACCGAGAATCGTATTTGGAAGGCGAGAACGATAGACATTGGTCTGGTGAACGCGGACGACGCTGTCAACTGGGGCTTCTCCGGAGTCATGTTGAGAGGATCGGGTGTGAAGTGGGATCTGAGAAAGACACAGCCATACGATGCCTACGATCAGGTCGAGTTTGATGTGCCAGTGGGAACTAAGGGCGATTGTTATGATCGGTAAGGGTGGATTTAATTGAAGTTTGTTATCAGTGGGTAATGACGGATTTTAGAGACGTTGAAGTAGATGAATCGAATATATTGCTTTTTAATGGGGTTTTTGATACTTATTTTGTAGAAAAATGAATTTTAATATAATTTTTTAATTAAAAACGATTTTTAAGTTTGCTCAGTAAGGATATTGTTGTAGGTATCTATGTCGTGTGGAAGAAATGCGCCAATCTCTCAATATCATCCTTCAATGCCTGAACAAAATGCCAGAAGGTGAAGTTAAGGTAGACGATAAGAAGGTGGTTCCACCAATGAGAGCTGAAATGAAGGTGGGTTTTGGTTTTTGAAATCTTAAAAAAGTTTGAAGGTTTGATTTTTTGGGGGCTTTTAGGTAATTTTTTATATTTTAGGGCGTTTTTAGGTAACATATTAATGAGTAATGGTGAAAAAGAGAAGACCCTAAAGGTGTTGAGAAATCATTTTATAACAATTTTCCATTTCAGGACAGCATGGAAAGTCTGATCCACCACTTTAAATTCTTCACGGAAGGCTTCCAAGTCCCACCAGGCGCCACCTACACGGCTACAGAAGCCCCTAAGGGCGAATTCGGCGTCTACCTCGTAGCCGATGGAACCTCTAAACCATACCGATGCTACATCCGAGCTCCGGGCTTTGCTCATCTCGCCAAGATCCACGACGTCACCTACATGAGTTTGATTGCCGACGTGGTCGCAGTGATTGGAACGATGGATATTGTATTCGGAGAGGTCGACCGTTAAGCATTACACCTTTTGAATAGGAATATAAAGTTGTAATTAAACAGTTTATACTTGAGAAGGGTATGGAGATGGGATAGAGAGGGGTTGACGGTATTTTTTGGGGCTTTGGTACTGTTTTTGCAGGGCTTTGGTACCGTTTTTGGACAATTTTGGTACTTTTTTTGTGGTTTTTGGTCAGTTTTTGATTTTTGAAGTTTAGTAGTTTAGGTAGATTTTAAAGCGAAATAACACTTAATCTAGACAGTACTACGTATGGTTGATACAAGAAAATTTTTTGGTATCTAATGAGTTGATGAAAAATGGCAGTAAACGCACTTTTTAGGACTCTGATGATGATTTTCTCGGATTTTTTTGTTTTTTAAAAAAATTAAATATAAAATAATGAAATTTTTATTAAGAAAATTAAGTGATAGTTAGTTTGGATCATAACAAGATAATGTACAAACATTGCTTGAAACAACTTTTGCGTAAAAGTGAAGATTCGAAGGTCGTGGTTAATATCCATATCCGTTATTGACGTTGAGCTGAAAAGGTGGATTTTAAAATTTTTAAGTGAGGTTTTAAGGATTATAGGTAATATTTTGATGGTTTTAAAAACTAGTTTTAAATTTTTGAATTTTTAAAAAAATTTTGTTTTGTATTGCACGGTGCAGATGTTTTAAATCAGTCTTTCCCTTACCCCTATCCCTACCTCTACCCTTACCCCTGCCAATACTCCTACCCCTATCCCTACAATAACTTCTACCCCTTACTCTTGCCTTTGCCCCTACTCCAACCCTACTTTTCAATTGTTACAGTAACCCTACCTGTGACTGTGTAGGACTAACATTGCTCTGTTGTTCATATTCAGCCCTTTGTGCCTTGTCCCTTCCTCGATTCATAAGCCAAACGCACATCCAAATACAGAAAACGATCAGAACCACAATGGCAAATATTATAATCAAGGCCAAGGCGGCCGTGAACTTGGCTTGCCACGACGCATTCTCACAACAACCATTGTCACAACAGCCCAAGTCAACATAACATTGCTCCACCACCTGCTGGCCGGTCTGTTGGAAGCCGTAGATGCAGTCCAGGTAGTTGGGGTCGGCATCTGCAATGTTGTAGTAGGTTATGACACTTTTAAGATGATATTGTTATAGGTTATGACATTCCTTAAGGTAATGCCATATATGATGAAATTGTCATACAAAACATCATAGGCTATGACATTTTTCAAGATAATGTCATGACATATTACATTTCAAACACAAACCTACCACTAGGTCTCTGATCCACCAGACTAGCCCCCTCCAAGCTTTGGCCTCCAGAATCTGATAACTGATAAGACGGTGCATCGTACTGTCGATTATTGACCGGTTGAATGATATGAGGCACGTACTGAAAGCCAGGCGTGTCCCATCGTGACCACGGTGAGCGATGTTCCTGTGCCATTTTCAATCGATTACTGGCGCGTGGCCAGCAATCTTAGCACGATTTTGACTGGTCGATAAGAAGAGGTAGAGTTCAACAGTTATGTGGAACTGAAAAAGTTTTAAATTTTTTAAAATAGAAATTAAAAAAAAATAAAAAAAATTTTGAAAAACGCGAATTCGATAACTTTGTATTTAACTAAGCCTACCCTACCTTACCCTAACCTACCCTACCCTACCCTACTCTATCCTATCCTACCCTACCCTACCCTACCCTACCCTACCCTACCCTACCCTACCCTACCCTACCCTACCCTACCCTACCCTACCCTACCCTACCCTACCCTACCCTACACTACCCTACCCTACCCTACCCTACCCTACCTTACCCTACCCTACCCTACCCTACATTACTTGTGTGTCTTCTATCCTCTTATGCTTGCTTTGCATTACCGTACCCTACTTTAATCTGAATTGCCTTACCCTGTCTTACCCTACCGCACTTTATTCTTCTTTGCCTTACTTTGATTTACCCTACTTCGTCTTATGGTACTACTATCATAGTCTTTACCATCATTTTGATAAAAAAATTATAAAAAATTTCAGGCAGGGCATGGTAAAGTGGGTTAAGATAGAATAAGATTTTATGATGCTACTGGTAACAATCTTTGAATATTAGACAAAAATAACGTATTTTACAAAATATTGTTGTTAGTTACAAACGTGGCAACACAACGCGCCAAAAAATTTTTTTTAATTTTAAAAAAATTTGGTTTTTTGTATTTTACCAAAACATACCACTTAAAACATACAAATTTTAAATACAAAAACCTGTTAACAAAGCTTAAAAACCCGTAAAAACTTTATTATTTAGCTAAAAATTACAATAAAACTAGATAAAAACCAGTAAAAAACAGTTGTCTTCATTCACCCCACCCGACGTTGTCATAATCCGCCCTCCAAACGGCTTGTAATCTCATTTTCACGCAGCGTAAAGTCGCGCGAAAACGATGTTGGCCGAATGCTTGGCCGCAAACAAACCGACCGTTTGAACAAAGACTAACATAATCCCGTGTCCACAATCGCCCGGATCATGTATAATGTCACAGGGAGGGGGCAAACGTGTTGCGGTTAAAAATAGATTTGGTGGATTGGGTTTACGTTTGAGAGAAAAAATAGAATCAAGGAGGGGTTGGGGTTATGTTTACAATAGATGGGGGGGGGGTATTATTAGCATTTTTCTTGTAGGGTAGGGGAGAGAGAAGAAATACAAAGTGAAAGGAGGAGAGTTTAATAGAGAAAGTAGAGCAAAAAAGTGGGCAGGTAAGAGTGAGATAGAGTAAGGTAGCGTAGGATAGGGTAGTTTAGAGTAGGATAACGTAGGACAGGGTAAGTTAGGGTATGGTAGAGTAGAGTAGGGTAGGGTAAGGGGGTGAGATGAACCGGAAGGGGATGGGGTTTAAAAATTATAAAACATGAAGGGAGATTAAAAGAAAACAAAAGGGATGGTGGATGGGCCAGGGTGAAAGCAATCAAATAATCAAAACCCTACCCCCCCCTCCCACACCATTTTCTCGCTATCTAAAATCCTTTTTCCCAGTTAGAAGCCCCACCCTAAAAAATTGGGTTCTCATGAAGAATAACTCCCCAGCAGGCGAATAATAATTCCCCATGGAAATGAGCTACAATCATTCCCCACTTATTCAAATTTTAAGATTTTTTTTCAATTTCTCATTCTTTCATTTTGTTTGCTGAATTATGGTCGGACCGCAAACTTACGAAGGAATCACTTATGAAACTGCCAAAAGTAAAAAAAAGAACCGTTGTGTCCCACTCGGTATTACTATCATGCCCCACCTGTATTACTATCATGCCTCACCTGTTTTACTATCATGCCCCACCTGTATTACTATCATGCCCCACCTGTATTACTATCATGCCCCACCTGTATTACTATCATGCCCCACCTGTATTACTATCATGCCCCACCTGTATTACTATCATGCCCCACCTGTATTACTATCATGCCCCACCTGTATTACTATCATGCCTCACCTGTTTTACTATCATGCCCCACCTGTATTACTATCATGCCCCACCTGTATTACTATCATGCCTCACCTGTTTTACTATCATGCCCCACCTGTATTACTATCATGCCTCACCTGTTTTACTATCATGCCCCACCTGTATTACTATCATGCCCCACCTGTATTACTATCATGCCCCACCTGTATTACTATCATGCCTCACCTGTTTTACTATCATGCCCCACCTGTATTACTATCATGCCTCACCTGTTTTACTATCATGCCCCACCTGTATTACTATCATGCCTCACCTGTTTTACTATCATGCCCCACCTGTATTACTATCATGCCCCACCTGTATTACTATCATGCCTCACCTGTTTTACTATCATGCCCCACCTGTATTACTATCATGCCCCACCTGTATTACTATCATGCCCCACCTGTTTTACTATCATGCCCCACCTGTATTACTATCATGCCCCACACTTAGAAAACCCTTATTCACTTTCCCTTTGCACTTTGAAAGTGTATTCATTATTCAAAACTTGGTTTACACTTTCAAAGTTTATGCAAAAAATCCCTATAAAAGCAACCGATTTCCTCAGAAATCGTCATTCGAGCCAAGTTCCGACGTCGTCAGCCGGTCCCTTCTCCAGCCCCTCATCGCGCGATGGTCTCATCAGCTCCAAAACTTGGGTCGTTGCCAACCTTCACCTGTGCCAACCTTCTGGACTAGTACAAGTTAAGTTCAACTTAACTTTGTGGGGAATGATTTTGCGCTTGGGGGAATGATTGTAGCTGGGGGAATGATTGTTCATCGGCCCCAAAAATTGTCTTCATCTTCACCTCTACTTCCTAGCCCACTCACACTACCTTCAAAAACTGAATATATGTTCTTTATCCTCTACAAATGAACATTTTACTTGTTTTTCCTCTATTCCTAAAGAAAAGCCTTATTTTTCATTCAAAAAATTTCATTTTTTACCCTCCCTCCCCTCAATCGGTTTTTTTCGGTATTGACAAAGTTAAGTCTACCCTCCAAAACAAAAATCCAAGCCTTTTTACTTTTTACTGCCTGAACAAAAATGATTTTTTCTTACTTTCCCTCATCGTACTATAGACCTGTAAAGTAACTAGTAGCAGTCTTCCGCCCGTGCCTAAACATACAAGTAAAACCCTGGTTTAAAGTTTGGCCGTAGGGTTCACATTTGTTGACTCAAGCCGGCAGCTTTCAAGTTTTATTCAGTCCGATCAACTAGACATGAGGAACGGCCTGGCACGACATAAATTTGGGTCAGGTCCGGCCCGACATAAATTTGGGTCAGACCCGGTCCATTCCTCATGTCTACGATCAACCTTTTAAGATTACCCTCCTCTCTATTCTTCCCTTTCCCTATTCTGTTCTAGTTTTTTTTATTTATTTTACCCTATCTATCCTCTACCTTTACCTAATTTTAAAAAACTTACAAAAATCAAAAAAGTTTTAAAAAACACCTCAAAGGCTTTAAAAGTACCCAAAATCTCAAAAAGATTATAAAAATGATTTGTTTCGAAAAGAATTGAAAAGTACGAACGAGCGAGCGTTATTGTATGTTTGTTGTGATTTGTCCTTCCCTTCCCTTGGAATACTAGTTTTTTGGCTTGAGAGTTTTGTTTGTTAAGCGCGGAACTCTCGACGCGCTGGGAAATTGCCTCAAGTATGCGGCCCGGAGGTTATAATTCCATAAGGTAATTGGGAATTCTACTTTGTTTGATTTTAAAATTATTTTTAACTTCGGTGCTTTTTAAGTGCAAATAGAGCTTTGTAACGTGTATTTTTAGTATAGACAAATGTAGGTTAGCTAATTGGTTTTATTCAGGTTGCAAGGGGGCAAATAAAAAAAATTTTTTTTTGAAGTGTGTGGGACAGGATAGGTAGGGAGAGGTAGAATAGAGTAGGGGAAGGGTAAGGTAAAAGTAAGGCAATGCTTGAGCAAGAGTAAAAAACAAGGTAAGGTAAGGGTAAGAGTAAGAGTAGGAAAAGGATAACATAAGTGTAGGATAACGAAGTATGGGTAAGTTCAAAATGGGATAAGAGCGGGGGTAAGGTTAGAATAGAGCTAGGGTCCTGGTAGACATAAGAAACTGACCGGGTCGGCCTTGAGCAAAATTTCGATCGAGCCGGGCCTGAAAAGTGAGCCGGGCTCGGCTTGTTACCACGTAAAAAAATTGTTGTTTCTAATGTCTAGGTTTTGGGCTAGGGCTCTGGGCTAGGGCTAGGGCTAGGGCTAGGGCTAGGGCTCTGGGCTAGGGCTCTGGGTTAGGGCTCTGGGCTAGGGCTCTGGGCTAGGGCTCTGGGCTAGGGCTCTAGGCTAGGGCTCTGGGCAAGGGCTCAGGGCTAGGGCTCTGGGCTAGAGCTCTGGGCTAGGGCTCTGGGCTAGGGCTAGGGCTAGGGCTAGGGCTAGGGCTAGGGCTCTGGGCTAGGGCTCTGGGCTAGGGCTCTGGGCTAGGGCTCTGGGCTAGGGCTCTGGGCTAGGGCTCTGGGCTAGGGCTCTGGGCTAGGGCTCTGGGCTAGGGCTCTGGGCTAGGGCTCTGGGCTAGGGCTCTGGGCTAGGGCTCTGGGCTAGGGCTCTGGGCTAGGGCTCTGGGCTAGGGCTCTGGGCTAGGGCTCTGGGCTAGGGCTCTGGGCTAGGGCTCTGGGCTAGGGCTCTGGGCTAGGGCTCTGGGCTAGGGCTCTGGGCTAGGGCTCTGGGCTAGGGCTCTGGGCTAGGGCTCTGGGCTAGGGCTCTGGGCTAGGGCTCTGGGCTAGGGCTCTGGGCTAACAGAAAGGATTAACCGTGACATCGAATACGTTTTGATTAGCGTGTTTTGAGTGTTCCTAACGGAAGTCTTAAGTTTTTCTCTGATATCTAATCTTGTCTTTGATAAAGACTGTTACCAAATGTGTTACTGTAATTCTTAAGCTGTTTGAGAGTTCTGTACGATGTCATAATCTTAATTTTTTAGATCTCTACGTGTTTTTTATTTTGTTTTTGGGTTTTTTAATTTTAAACGGCAAGAACTTTCTTTACAAAACAAAAAATGGCAAGAACTTTCTTTACAAAACGAAAAATAACAAAAACTTTCTTTACAAAGCAAGAAATTGCCAGAACTTTCTTTACAAAACAAAAAATAGCAAGAACTTTCTTTACAAAACACTAAATTCTAATTTTTAAAACATTTATTAATAATGTAAGTAATTACACTCCAAGTTATTGACTGATATTACAGTAACTCCATCCTCATCCCTTGTTTTCGCTAAACTTTCTACTTCTTTGTCGATCAAACTGCCATTTTCATTAATATGACATTGTGAAGAGTAAGGTGTGACAAAGTCATCCGTAGTAATTCGTGACAAATTTGAATCAGAAGTGTAGATTGAGGGCGTGGAACTGTGATCTGAAGGCTTTGTTGAGTTTGTTGAGGTTGGCTGTTCTTGTTCGGATGGGGAGTTTAGGAAATAGTCGAGAAATTGTTGCCGACTTATGTATTGTGTCTCATTGTGAGTGATTTTCTAAAAATTGAAAGTTTTTTTAAAAATTTTTAAATTATTTTGAAGTAAGGATATATTATAGTAGTGTAGTGAAGAGTCGGGTATGGTAAAGTAACACAGGGTAAGGAGGACAGAACAGTATAAGGTAGGATAGTGCAAGTTAGAAAAGGGGAGGGCATAAGCCTACTTTATTTCATCGCAGTTTTTGGATTATTACGCAATTTCTTTCTTCCGCACTGACCGGATTCGAACCCTCGACCTTCCGACTCAAAAAATCTAACGCACTGCCGCTATACTAATGAAGAAACTGGTCCAATAAACATGCTTTTGTATTTGTCACATGTTTTTAGAGTAGAATTTAATGCTGATTTTATAAAAACAACTTAAACTTTTTGAATCTAAAAAAATTAAAAAATTATGGCCGTTTTTCTAAAGCTATAATTGCTTTTGAGCAGTAGAGATGGGTTTTGAAAGAAAATAATAGAGTTACTGTAGGTTACTGTAATTTTGGATAAAAATTGTTATAATATTTGAATTCAGCGTGTTATATTACATATATAACGGCATTTTTTGGCAATTTTAATAGTGCTTTACAAAAGTTACAAGCAAAACTGTCCTTGGTACTGTAGAGCACGTTTGAAAAAAAATTGTGTTGTAATGCTTTTTCATCGTTCTTATAAGGCCAGTATGACTATTTATAGCAAGGAAAAATTTTTTTTTCTATTTTTTTAGAAATTAAACAAAGTTTTTAAAAATTTTAAGTATAATATACAAAAAGCTACCTCAAAAATGTCGCACATGTGGCTAAAAATAGCTGGTGCATGAACAATCGGCCTCACTTTATCACCCAGCAGTCCGTATATAGACTTCATGACTGATAATAGTTGTATTCTGCCAAGTTTGTCTTCTTTTTGAGAGTCATAAAAGTTGAAAATCCAATCAGCACGTTCTTCGGCCGTCCCTCGGGTCAGAATTGAATATGTCATTGCTAAATCCTGAAAAAAATTTTATAAGACTTATCAATATCGATAGTAAGGGTACTGTAAGGTAGTTTAGAATGCTGCAGGGTATAGTCGAGTAAGATAGAGTAAGGGTAGAGTACGTTAGGGTACAACAGAGAAGGGTTGGGTAGTAAGGCAAAGGTAAAATAGAACAGCACCTCAAAATCCACATCGCCATCAAAGTTCAAGTCAAAGGCACGGTGAACGAACCAAGCGTACTGTTCCGACTGCCCTCGGGGAAAGATTTGTGCGTAAAATTCTTTCAACTGGTCGAAATTCAAAACTCCATTTGGACAAAACTAAAAAATTCTTAATATTCACTACTATTGTATTACTCACAATTTTTATTTTTTTTTATTTTGGTTGTGTTTTTTAATTAAAAATGACATTTCCGGAGAAAAAATACGGAAGTCGTATTTTACAAAAAAATTTTAAAAAATTATTATTTTAAAACTTGAGTTAATATATATACTTACATTCTTAAAATACCGATAAAGCAGCCTCAGCTCATGTTTGTCAAAGTGTGTTTGATTCAGAAGTTTATCCAGATTGGCAGGCTTGTTTGGTCGAAGACCATATAACCTTGGAAAACCTGAAAATATAATATAAAGATTTGTAATGCACAATATATTTTTAAAAATAATTAGTGTTATGAGTTACAAGCCTAGAACTACATACATATAAGAAAGTCAACTTGGTTTCATTGAAGCAGGAGGAGGAGAAAGGAGAGACAGAAAGACAGAGAGACTATGAGAGGAGGGGGGGGGCTTTGAAAAGTAAGGTAAAATAGAGTAAGAAAAGGTAGTGTAGAGTAGAATAGAGTAAACCAAGATGTGTTAAGACGTAGAAAAAGCTAAGACTGGAGCTAAAGCTAGAGTTAATGTTAAGGAGCTTTCTAGGATAAGGAGGGGAGCGTATAGAAATAAATAAAATTTTTTTTGTAGGAGTTTTAAGCGGCTCTGTTGTTAAAAGTAAAAAAAATCATAGCTCAATCTCTTTTCCCTGCATACCGCCCCTGCCCAGTCTAAGAAGATAATATGTGTTATAGCACTAATGTTTATTGTAAAATACGGGCATTTTACAGAACGCTCGATAAACTGTACTGTAAACTTAAAAAATTATCAGATTTTAAAAATTTATGAATTTTTAATTTAAAAACAAATTTAGATTTCGCTTGTCTAAAACAAAAAAATTTTAAAATTTGACAGAGTAAGGAAATTGGTGTAATAAGTGTAAAATACGGCGATTAACTCACAGCTTTCCAAAACGTCATACATTTTTTTAAATTCTAAATACAGTACTCTCTCTATCTAAACAACTCGAAGGAACCGAAATTTTGTGTTTACTATAAAGAGTGTTGTCTTTACAGAGAGACTTTTTAGTGCAAATTGTTTTGGCGGAGCCAAATTTCTTGTTCACTATAAAGAGAGTTGCTGATACAGATGGTCCACTATATAGAGAGGCCACTGTATATACAAATTTTGTAAATCCACCTTAATACAAATATTCCTTCTGCTGTTGCAAAAAAAATGTTAATTGTAAAATACGAGTGAATTATTAAAAATAAAAAAAATTTAAAAATCAAAAAATACTCTTTTCGTCCACTTCTCTCTCTTCATTAACCTTCCCCATACCTCCCCCCCCTTTTTTTTTACCTTTCCCGCTCTACCTCAACCCTTCTTTCGGTCTCTGTTCTTCAAATTCTCCCTCTTGCCTCATTCCCTCGCTTTTCTCTCCCCCCCCTTCCCTTTTTACCCCTTAAAAAACGATTTAAAAAACTGTCCAAACTAAACATTTCAAAAATTTTGCAAAAAAAAATATTTTTAGCAAAAATTCTATTCTAAACCGACAATAAAGATTACATGTTGCACTAGCCAAAAGAGTATTCGCCCAAACACCCCTGCTATTGTTATTTTATTCTCGAGTGAACGCAAAGTTTCCGCCACTCGGGAATTTATAAGCACCATCAATGATTCTCTCCGACCAAATTTTCATGTTTTTTTTTGAAATTCCGGAGTTTTGGCAGAAGAAACAGATGTTGGCACGTATGGATGACATTTAAATTCATAAAGTGTAATAAAATTCAAACGGAAAAAACATCATTTCGGTTATTTTTAGTTAGTTAAAATTTTTAAAGTTCTGCAGTCTGTCGTAGACTTTAGGATAAGGTAAGCTAAGGTAGAGAAGAAAGTTTCTTCCATTTCTTGTATCGTAAAGAAAATTCTTGCCACTTTAGACCTTGTAAAGGAAGTTCTTGCCATTTTTTGTTTTGAAAAGAAAGTTCTTGCCTTTTGTGTTTTGTAAAGAAAGTTTTTGCCATTTCTGAGTTCGTAATCAAAATTCTTGCAATTTTTTGTTTTGTAAAGAAAATTCTTGCCATTTTAGATCTTGTAAAGAAAGTTCTTGCCTTTTGTGTTTTGTAAAGAAAGTTTTTGCCATTTTTTGGTTTGTAAAGAAAGTTCTTGCCATTTTATGTGTTGTAAAGGAAGTTTTTGCCATTTTGTTTTGTAAAAAAAGTTTTTAACATATTTAGTTATGTAAACAAACTTTGCCATTTTTTGTTTTTTAAGAAAGTTGTTGCCATTTTTAGTCTCATAAAGAAAATCCTTGACATTCCTGTGTTAAATAACGAAGCTTTCTTTAGCAATAACCTACTATTTAAACACTAAAAAAAGTCTTGCCGTCCCAGTACACTGAGTTTTACAGTAAAATACGACAAGGCTTTAAAAATATGTTGATATCAGCTAAACAATATATAAGCCAAAAAAAATGTAAATCTTAAATTCAAAAATCTAAAATATTGTCAAAAAGCCCAGTTCAAAGCAGTTCAACCCCTCCCTCTACCTAACCGGAACTGACCCCATCAAAACAAAAGGTGTTGGTTTTGTGACATTTCAATGAAAACTGACATCAGTTCATAAAAAAGTCAAAAAATAAAGGTTAGATGAAATATTGAAAAGTCCAACAAAAAGTGGCAAAACGCACTCTAAGCAAAAAAGCCTTACCTGAACATTCAATTGGATTCATTTGCCTTCTGGAGCCTAATTAGTATTCAGAAGCCTTTGGATAATTCTTTTGAAGAGCCCAAACTCAATTAAGTGCCAAAATGTCGTTCAGAAATTAATGAGCCAAGCAAGCCTTAAGTTGCTTTTAAGGAAGGGTAATTGAAAAGTGTATCTAAAAATTTTAGGGTTATTAGAAAATGGCAAAAAACTTCAAAAATATTTTAAATAGCAAAAACTTAGAAAAAAATTTTTTAAAAGTTTGCTTAAAGCTGAAAGGGTTCTTGGTAGGGTGTAAAAGTAGGTGAATGTAAAGGTAGAGAGTATTTAATAGCAAAGGAGTACGTAAAGGAAAGAGATGGGTATAAAGACAGGAGATAGATAAGGGTAGAGAATAGGTAATGATAAGGAGTGGATAAGAGCAAAGAGTAGTTAAAGGTAGATGATAATTAAAGATGAGGCTTTGATGATGGTACCGAAAGTAATAATGGTACTATAGAGTAAATAAGAGTAAGAAGTAGGTGAGAGTAGACAGCAGGTAAAACCAGGACAAAATGAAGGAAAGATAAATGATAAGAAGAAGGTTATTTTAAAAAGTCCGTCGGGGCTTTTTTAAGTGCTAAGTAAGAGATTACTGTAAGTAGTAAGCAGTCGGGCAGGGTAGGGTAAGGTAAAATATTATAAGGAAGAGTAGAGTAGAGTAAGGTAGGGTACGGTAAGATAAGGTAGGGCAGAATAGGGTAGGGTAGGGTACAAAAAGACTCAAAAAAGTTTAAAAAGGTAACAAAATGTCATAAGAGTAGCTCAATATAACACTTGAGTTCAAAAGTTTGCCATATCTTATTGAGTTTCCGTTTTGACTTGAAGAATGTTTTCAAAACGGTTTCAATTTTCAATTCCACCCTTGGGCTTGACTTTATTTATCTCCACAACGACCGAGTTCAACCTTTTGTTTTGGAATGACTATTTTAAAAATATTTTTAAAATTAGTCGAATTTTTTAAAAATGAAAAATTTTTGTCATGCCTTTTAAGAAAACAAGGCAAGGCAAGGCAAGGCAAGGCACGGCAAGGCAAGGCAAGGCAAGGCAAGGCAAGGCAAGGCAAGGCAAGACATTTGTTGTCAATTTGCTATGCTTTAGAATTTAAAAAACGACAAGACTTTTTTTGGTTTTTTTATAATAACAGTATATTGTTGTAATTTGAGCAATTGTTGCTATTTTAAGCCATTGTTAATATTTGCAATATATTAAACGTGGTAATTATAAATATAATGTACTAAGTTATAGAGTCAAATATTTTGATATAAATGACATCGAAATCCTAATTAGGTATTATGAATACAATTTCTGCATGAAATTTGTTTACACTATGTTTTGGAAGTGTGGTATTTGCAAAGTTTTTACAATTGTTTATTGTTGTATTATGCATTTCGTATTGATTAAGAGGGTTAATGAAGGAAATGACATACTTCCGTGAAGTCATAATATGACAAAATTGGATGATATTTGGTATGTTACGTAGGTATTGTAATTTAATTACATGTATACAGCAGTTCTATCATAAGACTAGGGCTCTGGGCTAGGGCTCTGGGCTCTGGGCTAGGGCTCTGGGCTAGGGCTCTGGGCTAGGGCTTTAAGCTAGGGCTCTGGGCTAAAGATTCGGGCTTGGAATTTAGTCTAGGGTTCTGTGCTAGGACAATATGACAAAATTGGATGATATTTGGTATGTTACGTAGGTATTGTAATTTAATTACATGTATACAGCAGTTCTATCATAAGACTAGGGCTCTAGGCTAGGGCTCTAGGCTAGGGCTCTGGGCAAGGGCTCAGGGCTAGGGCTCTGGGCTAGAGCTCTGGGCTAGGGCTCTGGGCTAGGGCTAGGGCTAGGGCTAGGGCTAGGGCTAGGGCTAGGGCTCTGGGCTAGGGCTCTGGGCTAGGGCTCTGGGCTAGGGCTCTGGGCTAGGGCTCTGGGCTAGGGCTCTGGGCTAGGGCTCTGGGCTAGGGCTCTGGGCTAGGGCTCTGGGCTAGGGCTCTGGGCTAGGGCTCTGGGCTAGGGCTCTGGGCTAGGGCTCTGGGCTAGGGCTCTGGGCTAGGGCTCTGGGCTAGGGCTCTGGGCTAAAGATTCGGGCTTGGAATTTAGTCTAGGGTTCTGTGCTAGGACTGGGCTAAGGTTTGAGCCGAGGGCTATTACAGTATGTACTCAAATGACGTTTTATCGTGTACAAGACTGCAAGCATTACAAACATTAATATTTTTCTAGCGATTATCTAGCTAATCAGGTTCACTTGGCGCTAGTAAGGTTTCAGGCTACTTTATTAAACTTCTAATCCAGACTAAACACTATGTTATACTAAGCTTAACTAGGCTATAGTTAAACTGTAATACAAAGAATGATACTGCTATTGTACGCACAGTGAAACGGTTTATATAAAGACTAAATCCAAAGAATACGCATCACAATACATGCTATTACAACACGTATGTACCGAGTAAAATACTGTTACAATGTAGACAAAGCCCAACAACAAGTTTAAAGTCTCAGCAGATTAAGCAGAAATGAACAACGAAGGTTAAGAAGCGATTAGGTGACATTTACGTATGAAACTGGCAAAACATGTTGTTATGCAGAGAATTAACGTTACTATTTACATTACGAATTAATATCAATTAGTTGGATTGAAGAAAATGATAAACAAGCTAGATATGATACATTTGTATGTCTTGTCGTTACCTTATATTAGGTTTAAGCTTGAAGAATGACAAGATTTTAAAAAAATTCAAGTTTGAATAATAACAAGATAAGATTGTATGGAATAAGATAGCGCAGAATAGTATAGAGTAAAGCGAGCTAGTGCAGGCAAGAGTAAGCTAGAAAAGCGCAAGGTAGGACAAGGCAAAGTAGAATAGAAGAAGGCCATTATCAACTAGACGAGGGTAGATCAGAGTATCGTAAAGCAGTATTGCGGGTAAAGAAGAGGGGTTAGGGCTGGGTGCGATAGGATTGAATAGGGTAGGGTAAGATAAGATAGGTAAAGAGGTAGGTTAAGGAATAGAATAAAGAGTTGGGTAGGGTAGGGTAGGGTAGGATAAGGTAAGGTAGGGTAGGGTAGACTAGGGTAGGGTGTGGTAGGGTAGGGTAGGGTAGGGTAGGGTAGGGTAGGATAAGATAGGATAGGATAGGGTAGGGTAGGGTAGGGTAGGGTAGGGTAGGGTAGGGTAGGGTAGGGTAGGGTAGGGTAGCTAAAACTTTTTTTTCTGTAATAAGGCTTTCATTTATACGTAAACAAAAGTTTTGTCGTTTTTTACACTAAACATAATGTTAAAAAACGACAAAACTTATTTAAACTTTTTCTACTGCTATGTTAAATTCGAGAAAAGCTATCGAACACTAATATATTACTTAAATTAATTTATTTTAATATACTTTGCGCTTTTTACAACATAAACTTAGAGCAAGGGCAACGCTGATAATGGCACACATAGGCCCTGCAGCACCAGCAAACCTGTCGTCGTGGTACCGTTGGTACAGCGGGTTGTACCATGTTGAACACATTCTCTTCTTCCATCTCTGGTTTCTCATCTTGTTGTTGTGGCAGCACTCCGGCCAACTCCATTTCCAAGATTTTGGGGTCCAATTTGTCGGCTACAAGATTGTAAGCGCCTGGAAGCTGGTACGGTAGTTGAGGTGTGCGAGCTTCACTTGATAGATCTGAAATCAAAAAAATTAAGATTTTTTAATAAAAATTAATTTAATTTGATTATTTTTTTACAATTCAATAACTTCTAAATTAGTCCCATCCTACCTCTACATGCTTAACTCGCACTGGCCTGCCTTACAAGGAAAGGTCCCCACCGCGCATTGGACTGGTGAAAAACTGGTACATACAAGTTGTAGAGCATGGTCAAATTAGTCAAAAACCAAAAAAAAATTTACCCCTCGTGGGGGGTTTTTTAAAAAAAATTTTATTACGTCGAAGTTTAAAATGTTAATTGCGCTCGCGCTAGACTCAAAAAAGAAAAGGGGAGTGCCGTGCTGCAATGGCGCAGTGGTTGCGCTCTCGGCTAACGCTCGAAGCACGTCGGTTCGAGTCGTGCCGGGAGCACACCCTTTTGTCCCTGAATTAAAATTTTTAAAAATAAAAAATTATTTTTTTTGGTCAACTTTTGTTTTGTTTACATTAAAAATCGATTTCTCTATTTATTAAGCTTGTTTTTAATATAATTTAAATAGTATTATTATACTTACAATTCTATTTATTTAGCATAATTACCTAAAAGCACAATCAAATAGCTCTGAACTTCTCAAAAATCATTTTATCAGCAAGTAAACTCTTATAAGTCTCCAGATTCTCTTGATTTCGCAGCTCAACATAACGATACAATCGACCGGATGTTTTTTTACCAATCGATTCGTCGTTCGAACTTCGTTTCCATCTGTTTATACGTTTTCTTCCGGCCATTATTCGATTCCTAAAACCACATACTTTCCACCAGCTCGTAAGGCACGTTGAGATCACCTCAGGACAAAACTTCTCCATTATTACAAACAAAAATAAAATAAAATTACTATTTAAAGAGTAATAGAACGAACAAATGACCAAAAAAATAATTTTTTATTTTTAAAAATTTTAATTCAGGCAAAAAAGGGTGTGCCTACGCCGCGACCCGAACCAACGGGCTTTGAGCGTTAACCGAGAGCGCAACCCCTGCGCTATTGCATCACGGAACTCTCTCCTCTTCTTTTCCGAGTCTAGCGCGAGCGCAATTAAGGTTTTTAAACTTTGACGTAATAAAATTTTTTAAAAAACCCCCACGAGGGGTAAATTTTTTTTCGGTTTATGACTAATTTGACCATGCCCTACAACTTGTATGTACCAGTTTTTCACCAGTCCAATGCGCGGTGGGGACCTTTCCTTGTTAGCTTGAACTTAAACCTAAACATGAGTTCGAGCCTGAACCTGAGCCTAAGGGTAACCTGAGCATAAGATTAACTTTGAGCCTGAGTTTTAGCTCGAGCTTAAGACTGAGCTTGAGACTGAGCTTGAACTTGAACTTGAACTTAAACTTGAACTTTGAACCTGAGCCTGAGCCTGAGCCTGAACCTGAGCCTGAGCCTGAGCCTGAGCCTGAGCCTGAGCCTGAGCTTGAGCCTGAGCTTGAGAGCCTGAGCGTAAGCCTGAGTCTAAGCCTAAGTCTGAGCCTGAGCCTGTACCTGAGCCTGAGCCTGAGCCTGGGCTTGAATTTACACCTTAACTGTAGCCTTAGCTTTAGACCTAATGCTCATGCTGAACCAAATCATGCTCTGAATCCTGATCCTGATTCTGAGCTCATCTCCTAGCTCAAGTCTATGCCATTCCCACAGCGTATAGCCGTAGCCAGTCTTAGTTTAACTTAAATTTTTCCTGTCTATTAATGCTTTACCAAAGCATTACTTTAGTCAAACCTGACCCTACTACAACCCTACCTCCACCTTGTTGTAAAAGCCATTTCTAGCCCTACCACCCCCCAAAAAGCTTACAAATTTTCAAAACTTAAACGAGGAAATGACAAATATTCAAAATTATGCAAAAATTATGCTAAACAAGACGACAAAAAACATAAAATAGCTATGACATTAAGCATGCTGACATATTAAAACGTCAAAAACAAAAACTTATTTTTGTCTGGCCAGGAGTACATTGTACTACAAGCTTATTATTGTTCAAAAACAGGAAAGTTTTACTAAAAAAGCATTTTTCTTTGAAGGCATCCAAGAAGCATATGTAAGCGAAAACAGTAATTAAAACTATATATTGTAATATGCAATTAAAATTTATTTTTAGACTTTTGTCGATAGGAATAATGACTATATAGGAACTACATGTGACGTGTCTTATGAGTTACAGGGAATAGAGTAGGAAAGGATGATATAACATGCACTTTTAAGGTTTAAGAAATCTGGTTTCATAAAGAGAATGGCTTGAAATTAGTAAGAGGAATTCAGTTCTTATTGGTTTTTGGTACTAATTTAGATATAATTTTTGGTTTCATAGTTTTGAAAGCGTTAGGCTTGACTTTAAGTTTAGCCTGAACCTAAGCCTGAACTTCAACTTAAACTTTAGTTTGAGCTTGAGCTTGGATTGACCCTAAGCCTGAATTTGCGCCGTAGTGCGAGTAAGCGTAAGACTGAGCCTAAGCCTAAACCTGAGCCTGAGCCTGAGGCTGAGCCTGAGCCTGAGCCTGAGCCTGAACCTTGAGCTTAAGTTTAAGCTGGAGCTTGAGCTTGAGGTTGAGCTTGAGATTAAGCTTGAGCTTGAGCTTGAGCTTGAGCTTGAGCTTGAGCTTGAGTTTGAGTTTGAGCCTGAGCCTGAGCCTGAGCCTGAGCCTGAGTATGAGTCTGAGCCTGAGCCTGAGCCTGAAGCCTGATGCCTGAAGCCTTACTCTACTCAGCCTTATGTCCAACCTTACCCACGTTTCGTTTCAGTTCTTCTTAGGTCTGCACCGAGTCCTGACCTAGCCTAGCTCATGACCCTGTCAAAGCCTTAACCCAGCCTTACAACAGCTTTACATCAAGCTTTTTTAGCCCTATTTTAGTCATTTTTTAGCCTAGCTTTTGACTTATTCTAGTCTCTAGAGTGCCCTTTACCATTCTTCTATCCTACCCTTACTGTAGCAATACTTTGCCCTTGCTTTAACACTACCTTACTCTAACCCACTCCCTATATAAGACATGCCTTAACCTTAAACATTAAACCTTCCCAAGCCTGGCTACATCCATTAAAGTTCATATACTGCAATACTAATACAACAAAACCAAACTTACTTCCATCCACGACCTGCATCACCATGAACATGACCACACATCCGATGCCCGACCACATGTTTGAAGAGTGTCGAGTGTAAAAATTAACAAAATTGGGATTGAAACGAGGGATTGAAGATTCAGCTCCTCCCACCGTAGACTCTGTAATTGGAGAAAACGGTTGTAATTACGTTGTACGGTATAATAACAACGACGTCAGTTGGTTTAGTAGAATATCGCGGTAAATTACAGTGTGATAGGGAACTATTTGGAGGGTTTTTGGTATGCTAGAGGGTAGATATTAGTAGTAAAGTTAATTTTTTTTGATTTTAGGAATAGTACGTTGTACTTGTTTTAGGTAAGGAAGGGTACTGTAGGTACCGTAATACAAATAGTAGTATTACTGTAGCAAATTTTGAATGATACAGTAATCTTACAGTAAAATATAGGTTTATAGTACAATTCTAAGATACTAAAAACCTTTGAAAATACAGTACTTTCCTAGAATACGGTAATAAATTTTAGTAGAGATACTGTATTTTCCTTAGTACAAACCAAAATTTTAAAGTAACAAAATTTCTACTGCAACACACTCTACAGTAACCAAATAAACCCTAGAACAGTAATATACTGCACAATATCAACAATATGTATGCTAATGCCCTGAAGCAATATTTGTTATATAGAGAAAAAATCCCACCACCCTTAACACCTTAGCCCCGCCCACATTTCGAGATCTCTTGTTTAATATTAAATAAAGTCGGGCATAAAAATAAATCTCTACGAATATCTGAGGACATAAAAAGTGGATAATTGGAGCTAAAATAAGACGCTTTGTTAGCTATATTAATATCAGAAAAATGTGACAAAATTTAATAAAAAAAAATTATTTTTAGGTAACAAAAAAGGGTTTAATAAGGTAGTATTTGTTAAGAGCCCTAGCCCAGAGCCCTAGCCCAGAGACCTAGCCCAGAGCCCTAGCCCAGAGCCCTAGCCCAGAGCCCTAGCCCAGAGACCTAGCCCAGAGCCCTAGCCCAGAGCCCTAGCCCAGAGCCCTAGCCCAGAGTCCTAGCCCAGAGCCCTAGCCCAGAGCCCTAGCCCAGAGCCCTAGCCCAGAGCCCTAGCCCAGAGCCCTAGCCCAGAGCCCTAGCCCAGAGCCCTAGGCCAGAACCTTAGCCCAGAGCCCTAGTCCAGAGCCTTAGCTCAGAGCGCTAGCCCAGAGCCTTAGCTCAGAGCCTTAGCCCAGAGCCCTAGCCCTAGCCCAGGGCCTTAACTTGAAACCAAAGCCCAACTAGCCCAGAGAGTAGCCCAGATCACTTTATCTTATATCTATGACCTACTTTGTCTTACCCTTGCCCTTTCTTTTCTTTATCTTATCCTATCCTAGCCCTACTCTCGCCCTACTTTTGCTTTACACCTGCTCCATCTTTATCTAACTCTTGATTTACCCTTGCTCTAGCTCAAATCTAGCCCTACTTTAACCTTACAATAGCCGCTATTTAAACCCCAACTACCCTTCTCTCTTTAAAATACTACTTTTTAAAAATATTTATGTTTTTATATAAAATACTGTAATAAAGCTTCAGAAAGTTCTGGTTAACCTTTAAAAAGTGCAAGAACAACAATTTTTTGAGGATTCTTTCACAATAAAGAGCCAAGAATAAATATAAACAACCCTTTACAAAGTGTTTCACTAATTAAAACAACCCACGAGATTAAAATAATACTTGTGGCTAAAACAAAGAACTTTCAAATTTAGCAGAAGTCTTCTTTTGGAAGCTTTTTGTTACCTAAATTAAGATAAATCTTTCATGATTTTATAATAACCTTACATATAAAATAAAATGGTAATCATTTAGCAAGGGTAGCGCTAAGATTACGATTTGGCAAGGCTAGGGCTAGTGCAAGCTTAAGTGAAGCACGTTTTCAGCTAGAACAAGCTCAAAAGAAAGTTAATTTACAGCTAAGGTATAACTAAGATTAAACTTAGGCCAGGCTAGTATAACACAAAAACTGGGATTGGGTAAGACTAACATAGCTAGAGCAAGGCTAAGCAAAAAAAACTTCTAAAAATTGCATTACACTGATTGGAACGAAGTGTAATGTCTCAAGAATGACCCTCTCTGCCTCCGAAAAGAAACTTGGAATAATAGCCAGGAAACACCACCCACATGTAAACATACATGTCATGTCTCATAGACTAAAGTATAAACATTTGTTACTCAGTAAAGCCTATTGAGAGAACAAAACAAGTCTAATTATTCACCCTACCCTACCCTACCCTACCCCACCCTACCCTACCCTACCCTACCCTTTTCTACTTTACTACCTACCGTACTATTGGAAATGACATATGCAGTAACATTTATGTTTTTTTGAGTGTGTCTACGTATACCTACGTATTGCTACAGTAACTCTCTACGTATACATTATTGTTGGTCCATCTAATACTCATAATAGTTGTTGTCTAAAATACTATACAAAACAACAGTCTTATTACGTTAATTTGCTCTAACCCACTCGTACGTCAGTCCACTTAAAACTATCAATTTGTGGTCGTAAATAACACGACTGCTTTGACAAGAAATACGATAAGACATTATGAATCATGCTCGATTACAATTCGTGTTTTTTGCTCAGTTTTTTGAACATTTACACGTCATTTACGACCAGTCGGAAAACAGAAGAAGACTTTTACGTCATGAGTCATTTGTAAAAAAAGTTTTTAAAGGTTGTTTTAGTCTAGACAACTTGAGGAACGGCTTTCCGAACAGGCCGAGACTAAGTGAAGCCTGGCCCCATCTAAATGTTGTTCAGTTCCCACTCTTGCCCGTTCTTCATGCCTCCCTTAGTCAAGTTACAGTCTTAAACTAAACATGAGCCTGATCCTGAGCCTGAGCCTGAGCATGAGCTTTAGCCAAAATCTAAATTTGAGCGCGAGCCTGAGCTTAAACCTAAGCCTGAGCCTAAATGAGCTTGAGTCTGTCTTTTAGCCTTAGCCAAAGCTTGAGCCTGGGCTTAAGTTTAAGCCTGAGCCTGAGCCTAAGCCTAAGCCTGAGCCTGAGCCTGAGCTTGAGCCTGAGCCTGAGCCTGAGCCACACCTTATCCTTAAACTAGTCTTGCATTAAAGTTAGCCTTGGTCTAGCATTACCGTAGTCTTGCTCTAGTCTATGCCCAGCTTTACTATAACTCTGCTTATTGTCTTGCTTAAGCCTTACTCGTAAATCTATGTCATAGCCAAACCCATCCCTAGCTTAACCTTACCTTGGTCTAATTCTAGTCCTAACTAAGTTACCCTTCCTTTCTTTTGCTCTTCTGAATAAATTTTACCCAAACCTTTCCGTATTTCAATAGCGTAGGTTTGACTAAAATCTTTTTCATAAAAAAAGAGACCTATATATAACTACAACATCTATTTTTATCCCATCAATCCCACGTTTTTTCTATTTTTACCCTCTCGTGCACTATATCTCATGCACTTGTCATCCTTCCGCATCCAATGACACGAATTTAATTGCAAAACGTAATAAACGAAATCTTTGTTATTGTAAACGTACAAGTCGCAATTACCACCGCCAAATTACAACTTTACTTTCTTGAAAGTTGGGAACCTAATTACTAACACTTATGTGCATATTGTGTCTGTTTGTCAAGAATTCGGTAGAAAACAGGTTTTTCGAAAAAATTTTAAATGTTTGTTTTCATAAAAATTTAAATTTTAATAAGCATGATTAGTTTTAAAAGGTTGTTGAGTATAGCGTACTAGTAGTTCACATAAGTTGAAGTTGAACAAATAGAAAAAGTGAAATCATGGGCAAGAGTATGACTAAGAATAATGAGTACAATACGAATAAAGCATAACTAGAATAGGGCGTGAGTAAAGGATAAGTAGGATAAGAGTAGACCAAGAATGTGACAAGTTTACAAATGTTAGGACAAAAGTAAAAAAAGAGTAGAAACCAATAGGGCTAGGGTAGATCGAGGGTAAGGCAAAGATAGTAAAAGTGTAGAACTACAGCAGAGCAACATTAAAATGTAGAGTAAGACAAAGGTAGAGCAATGATCAAGAAATATCAAAGAAAGCGTAAAACTAAAGTAGAGTCGTAGGGTGACGGTAAGACAAGGGGAAAGGCAAGAGTAGGACAAGAGTAGGGTACGCGTCGAGCAAAGTAAAGCAAAGGTAGAACAAGGAGATAGCAAGGGTATGGGAAGAATACAAAAAAGGTAGGAAAAGGGTAGACTTGTATGGCAAGAGAAGGCCAAGTGTAGGGCAAAGGTAGAGCAAAGGTAAAGCATGGATAGGTCACGAGGGTAAAGCAAGAGTAAACCAAGTGTAGGGTAGAGAAAACGTAGGGGTAGTTTAAAGCAAAAATAAGACAAAAGAAGACTAAGAAGAAACCAAAAAAATCCAAAAATGTATCAAACATCGTATTATTGTAAAAACATACTAAAAATACAATGTATATAAATAGATCCATTGTGCTGCAATTTATGAAAATTAATTTTATTAGAAAAGACGATTACAGTTTTTTCAATTAAAAATAATGTTTCTCAAAAAATAAATAAACAATAATATATATATATATAAAGCACTGCTATATCTGTATTATTAATCAATTTAATGCAAAAACAAAATAATACTGTATTAAAATGAAAAATACTTATGACCCTCATTAGTATGACACTTTTTGTCATAATGGTAAAAATTTAATTCTCTACTATTTCAAAAAAGTAGTTGTTAACATAGGTTAATCGGTATTATGTATTATGTAAGTTACTTACATCGCATTATATTACTATAACAGTTTTTCAGAATTTACACGATTTCTAATAAACACTGTAAGTTTTAATGAATCATTATGTAGGTTGTAAGTGTAAGCTGCTATAAGCTGCTTTGTAGCTTACAATAGAACATTTAGTCATTGTAATATAATGCATGAGAATGACAAATTAAAGCTTGGTTCTTGGTAATACTAAAAATAATATGTCATATTTCAATACTGTAAACTCATTATTTGTTTCATCATGGCGTAGCGTCAACAAATACAGTAGAACTCCTGTATAAACAATTTCTTGGCA